TTCGGTCCCTCTGAAACGTTTTGCTCAGGACCAAGTATTTCCGTGGTGCAGCCTGCCAAAATGCATCTTCTTCATTTTAGCCACATCCTTTTTAAATCGCCATCTAAGCCAATGAAAATACCAAAGTATGAGGTCTAAATTTAGATCTAAATTATAAAATAACTTAAGAGGTTGTATTTGTATTCCTCTTATCAAAAGTTCATTCGCTTTCTCCCAGAATCTTCCTGGTCAGCTAAACCAAATGGATATGTGATATTTCCTTAGATTGCTTGATTCTTGAGTAAATGTTGTCCCTCCATAGTACAAGGCAGGAGATTTATATTAAGTGAAAGTTTCTTAATAAGCAGAAAACTCACCTGAGATCAAAAGCTCAGACATCCTTACCATGAGAAATTACTAATTTTTACAGTAGAATCATGAAGACATGAACGACAGCTAGTGCTATATGCTGGTTTAATGCCAAACATTTTTTAAGTGGAATTATATGATTAAAGGCACATTTCCAAAGTATCATCGAGAAGGAAGATGGATAAATGTATTGTAAAGCAATGCTTCCCATCTACAACTGAGATACTCTTGGGTATCTCAGGTCATCAAGAGTGATGCAAAATCTTTAAAACAAAATTAATTTTAAATCAATTTTATTAAAAAACAACAACAACATATATAAACAGACCAAATAACACTCAAGCCTGGGAGGGCTGCAATCTTTTTTAACAACATAATAGTCCAAAAAGACTAACACTTATTGCTGATGCAGCTCACAGTATCAGCCCTCCTCAAGCAGCAACACAATCACGCGCACACATTTGATGGGCACCTGTCATGAGTGTCGGTGATTCGCTGAGCAACGGGCCACAGCCCGGCCCTTCCGGAGCTTCCAGTGGAGCTGAGAGAAACGAAACATCCAGAACAGAAATACAGTCCACACACAGCTATCCCAACAAAAGCAATTACTGGCGTAAGTCACCACATGTTTTAACAAATGAGCCATAGGACTATCTTAGCAGATAAACACTACATCAAGTTTCAACCTGACATATCAAAATAAAAATAAAAAGGTTTTCATTTAGCTAGTTTTTGTTCACTCATGTTTCAACTGAATTGAATTAAAAAGAGGAAAACACAATTCGAAGCCAAATGTACCATAGCGTTTACTTTCCTGTTGTTCATGTCCTAGATAGAGCTGCTCCACAGTTGAACATCCAGATGTCAAGTTCAGAAGTTCTGACTGCCAAACCGATGTACAAATTCAGATAGCGAGTAGACAGCTCCCCACCCTACCTCAGGATCCATACTGATAAAATCATTCAGGTTCATTTTGGATTCTAAAAAATACATGAAAGAAATGTCCACTGAAAACACAATTTTGGTTTAACAGCAATAAAACAACCGAAAAGACCAAGAGTAGAGAAAATTATTCAGTGAATAAGGGTTCTATATCACTTCTCTGGTATTCTTGTCACAAATGTGTAACCTTGATCTAATCATGACAAAACATCACACAAACCCAAACTGAGGGATAGTCCACAAAAGAACTAATGAGAACTCTTTAAAAATGTAAAAGTTCTAAAAGAAAAAAAATTCACAGATTAGGAGGACATGGGGGAGACATGACAACTAAATGTTAATTTCCTGGGTCAGAAAAAAAAAATTAGTGGGAAAACTTGCAAAAATTTAAATAAGGTCTAAAAGTTAACAGTATTATGTCAATATTTTTGTTTCAGTTGTATCATTTTCTTGGTTTTAAAAATTATACTATGGTTTACTCAAATACTCAGAATCTGAGTGAAGTGTATACAGGAACCCTGTCCTATTATGGCAAATTCTTTAGAAGTCCAAAATTATTTCAAAATAAAAAGTTAAATGAAAACACTGCATGAATCATCAAACTGCCAATGTACTGGATTCAACTGCCAATTTACAGGAAATTCAGAGGATAAAAGAGATACAATCAGCAAAATCCAAAGTTTCTCCCAGACTCAGTTTCTTCAACAAATAAATTACAAGGAAAAAAAAAAAAAAGAGTTGGACAAGGAATCTATATATTTAAAAAGACCACCCTTACAACAAAAAAAGCAGGATAATCAGCAAAACCAGAAGTTTCGCTGAAGTCATCAGAGAGCTGGGATGCAGGATGACCAAGTAACCAAAAGAAAGGAAAGACAGATACGTCCAAAGAGAAAGGGGGTGGAAACTCTTGCTTATTTGGGATAGATGCCAGATTCCATATGAGCTGGTAAGTCAGTCAGCTAAAATTTGTAACAGATTGCTAATGGAACCTCAACTTCTGAAATATGATAGTTATTTGTTTTCTAGGACTTTCAGCCCAAGACTTGGGAAATGTCTTTAAAAACTCAGTCACTGGTAGCTGGTGCCAGAACTGAGTCTTTAGAGCAAGGCTATACGACTGTAAATCTCAGCTTCCTCCTTATCAGGAAAAAAAAAAAGGGGGGGAGGATTCCTTTCTTTAAAATATATTAAATGCTAAATTAAAAATAGTGGTCCTGCAGACCCATGACCACCAAAATTGTTAAATGTATAGGCTTAATCATAAAACACAATACGCATATATAAAATGTATTAAATTTTAAGTCATAACAGTCAACCCCTAACTGAATGCAGAACTGAGTGAAGTTGCTTTTAAAATATCTAAAACATACATTAATTTCATGTTCGATGTTTTCTTGAACCACTTTTTTCCTTTTGGAACCTTTTTTTAAAAAAATAAATCACTACTAATTAGCGAAAAGTAATTCCCACTTATCCTAACTTTGGACATATTCCTTTGACAAATACAGGTCGTAAGGAATTTACCACATGAGAGAACATTATAATGTGGTTAAACTATTACATGAGAAACCGGTATGTTCACGCCATATCTCAGAGCAGATTCCTTTTAGTTTCAATCTCAAGTTCAGGAAGCCCCTGATGAACTAATTACATGTGCGATAGAAAAAGACACACCCTACTCATAAAAAAACTCCTCCTCAAGCACAGTGTGCTGACCCTGCCACTTTCTAGAGCCGTATACCTTAGGCAAAGGGCTTAACCTTCACATGCTTCAGTTCATGTGTCTATCAAATGTGAAAAATACAGCTTGACACGTTGAGTTGGGGTGAAAATTAAACTAATATGAAAGAGGGTTGGCACAAAGCCTGGCACAAAATAGCACCTGCTGGATCGTAATCATCAAAACCCAAAGGAATGGCTCAAAGAGGATGAGGGCCGACGAGGCGATGTTTACTGAACACCTACTATGCGTTAGGCTCTGTGTTAGTGCTCACGTCAAAGAGAGAGCTGGGGAGCTGCTGGGGCATACTGTCCAAGACCACGCCCTGTGCAGCACGTTGTCCAAGACTGAAAGGTAGACCTATGGAGCCCTCTCCTAACCCAGGAATGGTCCCAATTCTAATACTAAGCCCAGGAAGCAGGCTGGTGGACCAAAAAGTAATTCCGCTATAAATTTTAAAAATGATGAGAGCTTTTCACAGAGGACCTCAAAAATCAGAGTTTGGATCCTCTTTTAGTTCCAAAATATGCCAAATATATTTTTTACTTTTTTCCTTGCTGAACTCTGAATACTTTTGTCCTGTTTTTCTGGCATGCTGCACAGCTTACAAAGCGCTTTCACACAGACAGTATCACCCATGTGATGGGATGATCTCACCGCAAAACAGCAATGCTATGAATTCCATACAACCATGAATGATGTTTCAACTCACGTGAAGGCCAAACAATAGTTAAGAGGCTGAAGGATCCTTTATTGCCTCAAATCTCAAAAATTATTAGTTGGACGGATGCCTAAAAGCACACAAAGGAGATGAGTGGTACATAAAACCTGCCAGCTCTCACCTCCCCCTAATGCAGATTTAATATTTAATCCGAGAGCCGGGGAAATGCCATTTCACCAAGAACCACGGGACATTTGCTCTTTTCTCCCCATAGCCGGACCCTTCCCCGGTCCAACGTGCTCCCTTTCTAAATGACACGAGAAAACAGAACACAGAACTCCTAAGTCCAATGACCCAGAACCCCGAACACCCAATACCTATCAAGTTTTTCGTCCTAACGCTTACCGTCTCCTCTGAGCTCTTACTCCTTCCACCCCCCAGTTCTGTTCCTCAATCCCTGATTTTAGTACATAATAAGAGCTATGCACCATGCTTCCTCTTACCACTTAGGAGGTTGTAGCCATTAACCAAAGACAAATGCTAACTTTGGTCAATGGCAAAGGTATATCTGCTCACTCCACGGACACCCGTATACCGAAGCATGTAGCATTTATGGCCCATTTCAAGGTTCGATTCTGGGATAGGATGCTGGCTCCAGTTTCCGCTGGCCTCTCGCATGTCTCATGTGACATAAGTCAGGTGCTACGTATTTGAAATTTCGCGGTTCACGCGACATTTCATGCTGACTGATCAGCATTCAGTAATCACTTAGAGGAGGCACATATGACATTCGAAATTAGAATTCAGCTAGACTCTATACTCATTTCCCACGCCATGCAAAAGCAGACATCAGGAGTAATGTGTAAAAAGATATGCAACTTGCTGCCCTGTTACAGGAGCCATGAGCAATGAGCAGTGAAAATCTGAAATCACAAATGCACAGAGATCTGCAAGGTGCCTGGTATTTACTAATTAGTCAATTGGGGATCAAGTGCAAAATGCACAAGTGCTACGTGTGGCCGTGATCGCCTTATGGTTACAGAATAATTCGCACTCTCATCCCACACCCACAACACTCCCTCACACACAAGCGAAAATGTATAATTCCTACAAAAACTGACATAAAGAATTTGATAGTATCTCACACACTAATTATTGACAGCCAGCCTTCGATTGAAACAATGACCATCCTTCCAAACAGTATCAACTGTCTAGCACGCCCATCTCTCTCTCAACTCACTGGTTAGTCCAGCCCAGATAACCTGCACTAAAAAAACAACTAACAAAACAAACAACTCCATATGATTGTCGAGGTCTCACTTCAGAAAGTAGGCAAATCCATCCTGAACTTCCTCACCTTCTGAACTGTGGATGGATGTCCTCGTCCGATTTAAAGGCATCTTCCACGTAAGCGTCAAAAGCACAGGGAAACGGCAAGACAGTGTCGAGATCATAAATGAAGCTTTCTCCTCCACTTGAAACGTGAAGCAAGACAACATGGTAATCCTAGAAGGAGAAGTTGCTAAGTTAACCAAGTTACTTTATGATGGTGAGTTCCAGGATTACATGATGTATAATGCATGTATTATACATCACCGAAAACGGATACAAGACTAATACAGCCCTCCTTATAGTAACAAAATAAAAAAACACAAACCCTGAAAACAGACCAAATGTCCAGTGACAGGGAACACTGAACTAAATAGTGGAAATGTTCATAGACATTAGGTGTATATCCATTAACCCAGCAATTTTACCTCTAGGAATCCATCCTACATAAAAACGGCCATACACATGTAAAGGTATATAGACTAAGAAAATCTCTGCAGCACTGTTTGTAATAGTGAAAATTCAGAAACAACCAAAAGTCCAAGAGGGAAATGGTTAATAAATCATGATGCAGCCACATGACGGAATACTACTCAGCTGGAAAAAAGATTTGGGTAAATTTATGTGGGAAACAGAAAAATGCCATTACCAAGTTGGATGGAAGAAGCAAACTGCAGAATGTGTGTAATATATTATTTTATAAAAGCTGTACATGTATAAGGACACACGTGCACGCTCAGAAGTAATCAGCATGCATATGAACAGGGGAAAAATCTGTAAGGATATTCTCCAAACTATTAACAAAGGGGAAAGCTTGAGGTTCTCCCAAAGCAGGAACGAGGGCTTTAACTTCTTGATTTATACTACATTTGCAGTTAAAAAGAGAAAAGTGTAGGTTTCAAGTTTGGGTTTTTTTAATCAGCTAAGCCCTCATCCGTAACCCTTAAAGGAGAGGGATAGAGAGAGCTTCTCCCGCAGAGCTTGGCCACGGTGTGCACGTGACTTCTCACTCGTGTGACTCCCAGATACCTGGCACTGCTGCAAGGGATGTCAGGGGGGTTATCAAGGGATACGAGGACCGTCGGGTGCTGTGAGTCCCTCAGAAGAAAAACGCCCCCACTGAGAACAGCTCTGTGAGATAAAAAGTTCAGCCACATCAGGACAACATTCATAATGCTGTCTTCCATTTCTAGCACTTCAGAGCTCACAGAGCACTTTCTCAAACGTTATTTCATTTGACTCTGGGAGGCGGGCAAGAGAATTAATCGAAACTAGAGATGTTGGACCATCAGAGCCTAAAGTGCTTCCTTTGGCTCCAATTCTATCTTAGTAAAGCAGAAAGAGCATCAGAATTGGATGCTTATTCCCTGTACGCGCCTTAATGCACCCTGCCCTCCAGGTATAAAACACAGGGCTCTCCCTCTAACAGTCCACAGTTTCCTCCCCCTGGGCTTGTTCATGCCATTCCGCCATCCGTAGCAACCTTCTCCACTTCTCTCCCCAGACCCATCATTCAAGCTCTGGCTCAAGTGCTCTCTCCCCCATGGACCCATTTTCTATCTTCTCACACCCCCTGCCAGGAGTAGTCTCTGCCTTATCCAAAATCTGTTTCTCTTTGACATTTTCTAACTGATAATGCAGTGTGGTTTTTTGAAGCACATACTCCCTATTATTTGTGGGAAACTGTGCTGTTGAAACACAGCTATAAAGATGAGACAGACTGGCCCTTACCCTCAAGGAGTTCCCAGAGGAGTGAGTGGGAAACACAAGCCAACAATGCATGGGAGTGTGAGGACACGAGAGAATGAAGGCGGCAGGCGAGGATGCAGGGAAGGCGTTCTGAAACCAGACCACCTGGCTCACACTTCAGCCCCTGCACTAACCTGCCTCAGTTTCCTCCTTTATAAAATGGAAATTGGAAATAGCTTTAGCGCTTACCTCAGAGTGTTACTGGGCAATTAACGAGATTATGTATGTAAATGTATTTTTAAAAGCCAACCAAGAAACCGAGGGGATGGGGGCCCAACAGCCAAGGAGGGTCTCACTGAGGAAGGGCTGCCATCACTGAATCTCACCTGAAGGGGAGAGCTTTCCAGAAAGAAGATACAACTTGTGAAAAGGCATAAATGATGACTATCCACAACCTTCTAGTTAGTTCAGGTCCATATTCCTACATACCACATGGATGATGAACTTGAGGGAAAGCAGGCCTCAACGTGGAATCACCTTCCTGGCATAGAGGTGAAGCCACGGAATGCAGATTTAAGCAGTGGCCTTACTCTTGAGTTGGCTTCAGTGCTTACCCAAATGCCAGGAAAGACCCAGCGGGGCTGGGGGAAGGGGTGCCCACCCCGAAGTGATCTGCTCCTTGGGGTTTGGTGTCTCTACCCACTCAGGGAGGCCTCCTCATTTCCTACAAGAGGACAGCAGTGAGGCAAAGATAATATGCTAGAGGGTGTGGGGAGACGTGCCATATCAAGATTCCCCACCCTGAGCTGCCATGAGATGTTGTGTAAGGGAGACACGGCCCCAAGTCCTTTCCCTGCGAGCTTCCTCAAGACAGGAAGCAAGGCCATGACTCAGAATCAGCTGAGCGGTTTAGCAATGGGGATGACCTCTAGGGCAGGTGGACAGCCTGCAACAGGGGTTATGCAGTATTGCTAACGGTAACAGCTAACGCTTCTCGAGCACCAGCGCCAGATACCACACCGGACACCAGGGTAACGCTTTAAATGCATTATCTCATTTAAGCCTCGCCACCTCACTGACCAGAGGACACTGAAAAAAGAGGGTGAATAACACATCCAGTTCACACAGTCCACCACTGGGAGGACTGGGGCTTAGCCCCAGTTGGCCTGACTCTGAGCCCACGCTCCTAACCCAACGCTGCTGGATTTGGGTTTGAATGTCAGAGCAGATCACCTGCCGGTGAAGGAGTCCAGAAGGTGAACTTCGTGAAGTCAAGGATTTCAGTCTATTTTGTATCTGGCATATAAACAGGCACTCAATAAATACATGTTAAATAAATGAGTGAAGCCAATTCAAATGATATCTTACTTGAAACAGGTATCAGAAACTAGGTGTTTATTATATTATCATGAATGGAGTTTTACTTTATCTCCCCGTTTATCAACATAAACCATTCTGTTCTTCAGGGGGCCGGGTTAAGGCCACACACAGATGTGCCCTGCAAAGGACCCAGGCCTGAGACCCAGTCCTGCCACTGGTCAGCTATTACTAGATGACCTGGAGCCACTCACTTTGCCTTTCTGGGCTTGTTTCTTCACCTGAAAAGTGAAGGGGGTGGAGTAGATCCGTGTTTTTCCATTGCCAGTCATGTTCACTCGGGAGTTTGCTAAAAACACCAATTCCTGAACCCGTCTCTAGGTCAACTAAATCAAACACCTGTATCTTTAACACAGTCTCCAGGTAATTCTAACATGCAGCTGGACTAGATATTGCTAAAGTTCTTTCCGGTGCTAAATGGGTAAAGTTTGGGAGATCACAAATACATCTGCCACGTCAACCCTTTAAAATCATTCTGGTAATAATTTCAAAATTAAAAGAAACCATACCTGTAAGTGCTCCTACCTTAGACCAAGTACCATCTATTCTCAAAAGGTCAAATTATTAGTAATTATCATTGCCTTTCTCTACTGCCCTATGATTTCTGCTTTCCCAAAACATAAAGACCACTCAGGGATCAAAAGGATGAAGGCAGCAGAAGCTCTCTGTGTTGACCATCTTACCCAGATCACAGGTCCATCTCCAGGTCTGGCCTGCTGTTTCCAGATAGGTATCTACAAAACACAATAAGCTTCAATTTCATGAGCCATGACTTCAGTTAAACCACTACTAAATTCTTTAAAGCAATATATAAATGAAAAACAAAATATTTCTAAGCAACCAACAAAGTGAAAGAACGAATCGGTAAGAAGAAATTGAAATCCTTCCAAGTGTTCCTAACAATGAAAGGGCAAAAATTAACTGCATGATGTTTTCTGGAGTAGAAAGAGACCTGAACTAGGAATGAGAAGGCCGGGCAGGTTCAAGTCTTGCTTTCCCACTTAATTATTTATGGGACTTCCCTGAGTCGCTATAAAATGGAGACAGCTGTCTGACCCTTGCCTATTTCACAGGGTTTCCATTAGGATCAAATGAGGTGACAAAACATGAAGGGCTTACTTTTTTTAATACTTCATGTAAATTTACTAAAGTTCTATTTAAATTCCAGAAACAAAGAACTCTTTACCTCAAACCTAAGAGTACGTGCCTCCAACCTAAGCAATTTAAAAAGCTCTAACTTATACGTAAAGAAAAGGGAGGTAATCTGTGTGAATACGGCATCACGTATTTCCTTCCTACAAGCAAAGAACTAAACTTTCCCTAAACCAACCATGCCCTGGAAGGGGGAAAAAATGATCTCATTCCAAAAACAAACTTTAAAATGTCGCTATATTTTATAAAGCACATTTCGAACAGTACTAAACCCATGCTATATTTAGCTTCTAATGTCATCCTGAATTTCTTGTTCTCTTTCTGCAATCATTTGCCAACTTACCATCTTCCTCTCATTAGATATGAAAACAGCGTAACATTCTTCTAACGGATACTGGTTGTGGTTTTTGATGTATTCACAGAGCTTCCAAATATTTTCTTCACTGAAATAAAATAATTGTTAATATAATTAAGCAAGAACGCTGACTTTCAAATTTGAACAGGATTAATGATGACATTAAAAAGTTGGAGACCTTAAACACCATTTCATCCAACAACTGGCTAACATTTGAACCTTCTCTGAAACATCCCCAACAAGCTGTTATCCAACCTATATGGCTGTGGACCCCTCTGCAGACAAGAGTTCACTACCTCCCCCATCAGTGTTTGTACATGGAAGCATTTTATAACTGACAAAATGCTACGTAAATATTCTATAAGCTTTGGGTTCAGGGACTTGAGATACAGCTAGAATTTAACTCAGCCACTTACAAGGTAAAAAGCTTTGAACACTGTGACTTCTTAGAGTGCCTGCTTTCCTCATCAGTAAAATGGGCATAATCACATCATATTATGAACACTCAATAAATCTGTTAACATTGGTTTCCTGCTCCCCCAAGGAAGGGGCAGGGCGGTGTTTTGGGTGGGAGGGCTCCTGAGTGGAAAGGATCGGGCAGGTATGTGGTATGTCCAGGAATTCTTCTGGAGGGGCCCCGTAAATGGGATTCCTTCCCCAAGTCCCTCTGGTGGGGAAGAGGGCCTGACTTAGAAAGTTCTTTCTCATAGTGAACTCAAATGTATCTTCCTAGACCTCTGTCCAGTAGAAATCTCTCTTCTCTACGAAAGGCCTTTAGCACTTTGAAGAAGCGGTCAGAATTTCTTAAGTAAAGCAATGACCAGTGCATCAAACTGAGCCACACTGGTAGCCACAGCCACACCCCTGCAGAGGCAAGCAGTCACTGCTGGCAGGGCTCACAGCTCAGCCTCTGAGTTCCTTTTTCTAATGAGCCACACAGCACCTTTGCTCAAAATGAGCTACACCCACACTCTGCTCACACACACGACGCAATCTGCCAAAGCCTAATTTCAGCCCCCTACACCATGCCACCCAAAAATGAAGCAAAGCACCAACAGCACTGAGGACTGTCACCATTTTATGGAAATACACACATTCAATTTAAGTCTTAACCCTTGTCTACCAGTCTCAATGCTCCATACGATTAGGCTTCAAGTACCAAAGTTCAGTGTCTGTATTTTTCTCCTATGATTTCGTTTTCCTCTAAAATACCTAAGAAATCTTATGGAAAAGGTGTAGCAACAGGAGATTACTGTCTACTTCCACAGGATATGTAGTATGCAGTAACAAAAATGCAAAAATGTACTACTTCAATGGGACAAGTAGCTAAAATTCTTTTAATCTGGATATTCTAAAACCAAGTTTCAAGAAGACATTTGTCTGTCTTGCCTGTAGATGTTCTGGAGAGTTGACCACAAACATCTTCAAGACATGATGTACAAAGCACTGTACTAAGTGCTTAGAAGATATGATAAATTAGAGCTTACGGACAGTGAGAGGGGACATACAGATCCATAAATCAGTAAGCATCCATGAAGGCCATAAAAGATGCATAGAGAAGGGAGTCATTAATTTTAAGGGATACGGGAAGATGGAGGAGATACAGGTCAGTGGTTTTTCTGTTTGCTCCCCTTCCCTCCATCCCATAGAGTTAGGGCAAAAAGTTCATGAATCCATATGTACCACAAGTACTACTGGCAGGCTGAATACATGTGGCTTGGACACACTTTGCCAATTATTTTTCAAATACATGTGAATATTGCACAGAGGAAAAATAAATTTAAACATAAGAGTTACTGAACTTCTAGTCCCTTTTTATATCCATTTTGTTTTCAAGAGTACAATTAATATCATGTAGGAAGATCTCATGATACTTTCAATGTTAATAAAAAAGAGGGCCTTATATACTTGAAAAGCTAGGAGTCATTTGGAATAGAAAAAGCACTGGATTTGGTGTGAGTCCTGGAACCCGCTTAACTGGTTTTAAAAAAAAATGGGGAATGATGACAGTAATGTCCCAGCCTGTCAATTGATTGTTTTTGGCAGCAGGAAGACTAACAAAGCAGCATTAGGGCCCATGGTGCTGCAGGGTTACTGGTGATGAGCTAAGTTCAGAGAAACATGCAGATGAGGATTCCTGGCACACAGTAGGTGCTCAATAAGTGATTGAAAAACACAAAACAATTACAAAAGAATCAGAAATGTTCTGCAAACCGCACAGTGCCACATAAACATTGGCCACCACTGTTATCACTAAGCTGGGTCTGAAAAGATAAGTTAACCTGACAGAAACTAACAGAAGTAGAGACAACATTTATTTCAAGTTAGAAGTACTCGCAGGAGCACATGTCGTAAGGTGTACCTACCCCACATGTTCAGACAGGATAAGGCACTGGTTCTCAATCAGAGACGATTTGCTCCCAGGGGACATTTGGCAATGCTGGAGACATTTTTGGTGGTCACCGATTGGGACAGGATGCTACGGGCCTCTAGTGGGTAGAGGCCAGGGATGCTGCTACACATCCTACAATGCACAGGACAGGCCCCCCACAACAAGAAATCAACATGGTCGAGATGTCAACAGAGCCGAGGTTGAGAAACCCTGGGGTAGGGCAGAGAAGGCAAGTTCAAAATGAGGTTTTGGAGGAACAGATGGTGACCAGACCTTAGAGGGCTTGCTATGCTCAGTGGACAGACTTTTTGTCTATACCTATATTCCCTGAAATGTGGCCGACAGGCCAGGCTCACCGCTCCACTGTGCTCCTCACACATCCAGGCTCTGGTGGGACCTTAAGAGCTGTATGTGTTACAAGCTCCCAGCTGATTCTCTGGCACATTCAAATTCAGAATGGCTTTGAGAAGTGTGAAGAAGTTAGACTTGACAGGATATGGGAGAGCCGAGCAGAGAGGCCTGTTAGGAAGGACTGGAACAGGCCCTCAACAGCTAGTCAAGGAGGATCTGGCCAATGATTGAAGGAACTAAAAAAAAAAAAAGACAATCTATTGAAAAGATGTTCATCTCCTACCATTCTTCCACCAAACTGCTCCACTCCAACCATGCCAGCCTCCTTGTTATTCCTAGGATATTCATGGCAGGCTTCCTTCTCAGCCTCTGCACCTGCTGGTCCTCTGCCTGGAATGATCTCCCACCAGTATCCATGAAGTTTCTGCCCTTTTTCTTCAGATCTGTTCAAATATCACTTCATCAACAATGTCTTCCTTAAATATCCTAATATAAAATAGTAAGTCTCCATCCTTTACCTTGTTTTATCTTTCTCATAACACTTAACACCTAAATATGGTTTGTTTTTGTCTGCTTTCCCCCAACCAAAATGTAAGAACCATGAGATCTTACCAGGGATTTTGTCTATTTTGTTCACTGCTGTATCCTTAGTACCTAAAATCATGCATTACACACTCCAAGTGCCTAATAAATATTTAGTGAATGAATGAATAAAACAATGAATGGACGTTAGGGGCAAGAACTAGTAGGATGTAGGTGAGCAGGAGGGCAGAAATAAAGTGCAGTATTTAAGCGTGGCTTTCAGCATTATAGAGATTCGTTTCAGGAGTACCACTTGCTAAATGTGTGTGATCAGTGGGCAAGCAACAGGCCTCTCTATGGCTCAGTGTTTTCATTAATAAAATGAGGGAAATGATAGTAATATAGAACCTATCTCCTAAGGCATGGACGGAAGCATTTGGCACTGGGCCTAATATGCAGTCAGAGCAGCACAAATGTTAAGTTCTGGGTGGCACTGGTTTGGTGGCCAGCTGAAGGAGGGAAAGATAGTTCTAGATGGCCCTTCGGTGTTTTGTACAGGGACTAGAAGTGGAGAACTCATTACACAGGCAAGGAAAGGGTAGGTGTGGGAGTGAAAAGGACCAAGGTAGGAGCGGTGATTCAGCCACAGAGATGGCCTAGGACGGGTACGATGTGCGGACTCCAAAGCCAAACTCTACCGGTAAATCCCCATTCCTTCACTTACAAACTATGTGGCCTCAGACAAGTTACTTGCACCCCCGTGTGTTCAGTGTTCTCATTTTCAAAATGGGGATAACAATGATATTTACCTCCTAAGGTAATTGTGGGCTTAAATGAATTCGTTTACATAAACCACCCAGCACAATGTTTGGCATCTAGCAAGAGCTACGTTAAGTTTAACCATTATAATGACAACACGGTACCATGGTTTCTGGTACAAGGGGGCCTGAAATGGATTTCTGGATGCTATTAACTGGGTGACCTTGGGAAAGTTACTGCGAAACCTCTGTGCCTCCATTCTCTTCCAAAATTAAAATGACCAGCACATCAGTGTGAAACACAAGTTTAGGCAAAGTCATTTCCATAGGCTCTCTGCGCTCCACCCTCCGCCTCCAACTCCCCTTCCTAGCCCCAGTGCACTGAGATCTGCTGAGAAATGTCCAAGCGAAAAGCGCCAGGCAAAAGTAATACACTGCCGACTCTACCATTACTGGCGAATCCCGCACCCTCCCATACAAATGCCCACGCTCTACTCAAAAGACGAGACCTGCCATTCAAGCTCCCTCTTTGCACCAAACAGAAAAATCCGCCAGTAGGGACCCAGAAAGCCCGGGGGAGGAGCCGGGAAGAGGCGGGGCCCAACTGCGACGTCGCGGCCGCCACGGGGATGCTGGGGTTGCGCCCGCGCCCCCTCACCAGTAGCAGCTGTTGTAGACACAGGCGTCCCTTGGGGGGCTGGCCGGCTGGTAGCCGGCGGCTGCGGCGGCGGGAACATTCCCCTCCATGGTGGCTTGGGCCAGGGCACCGGCTTGAGGCGCGCCAATTGGTCCAGAAACGCAGGCGCGCTCCGGGGAAGGAGCTGGCGCGTTGCAGTCCGCACAGGTTCTCGAAGCGGAGTGGGCGGAGCCCGGGCAGCTGGTGCAGTTCCCGAGTGGTGGAGCCTGGGACCTGCAGGCGGGGATCTGGGCGGGGCGAGCGGCTCAGGTTCCCAGAGCCCTGGGTCCAGAAGAGCGGTGCAAGTTCCGGTGGGTGGAGCTAGGGGCTGAATGAGCCGGCCCAGGGCGGCCCTGAGCAGGCGGAGCTGGTTCCGGTGGGCGGTGCCTGAGCGGGACGCGCGGGGCTAGTTCCGGGAGGGTGGAGCCAGGGCAAAGTGGGCGGGTCTGGGGTTGGGTGAGCGGCTTGAGTTTCCCGCGGACTGAACTCTGGCGAAGACTGCGCGATTCCGATAGATGGGGCTGGGACCAATGGAGCCAGGGCGGGGAGGTGCTGGTGGCGCGGGTTCCGGGTGTGGCGGGGCTGGGAGTGCGGGAGGGGGGGGGGCACGGTGGCAACGGCAGGGACCCAGTCAGGTGGAGGAAAAGAGAGGTCACTGGCCGACGACCTGAAGCGTCAGGGGAGGACTTCAAGTTGGTCAACTGCCGGACCCTGAGTGGCGCTTCGTGACTCTCCCGGAGGAGTCTGAGCCCCTCCAACCTGTGGCCGGGTCGCCTGCTGTGGAGAAACCAGATGAGATGCGGAAGACGGGACGTGTGAGAGTGAAATAAGAAACTTGTGTGTGAAGAAATGAAGCTTTAGCACTTTGAGCCTAGAGCCGCGGGAGCCAGGGGGAAAAAGGGGGAGGGGTTAATTCCAAATACTGCATCTGCATCAAGGATGGTTTGAGAGAAGGACATCACCCTAAAATCCACACCGTACAGTAACATTTTTTCAAACTAAAGAATTGTATATATTGGCTTAGAACGATCTATGGATTCCTTGATATAGTAAGTTAAAAACCAGTGTTCACCAAGATTCCACATGGTACCCATCGTGTTGGTCATGTATGTTCATTTGCTGGCAGCGTGGAAGGAAAGACACCAAATGGTTAAAGCCGTTAGTCTCTGGTGAATGAATGGCATGGAGTATTTTCACTTTGTGCTTTAATAACCCTCTGAATTGTCTGTGTTTGCAACGGGCATATATAGCTGATCAGGGTACTTCCCATTCTCAGAATTGAAATTCTTGTTTTATAGGCCATCTGCAGTCAGATGTTCCCAACTCATGAGATCTCAAGCCCCCCAAATCCTAAAGACTGAGCATAAGTCCTTGTGTCAGTTTTCAATTTGTTGCCTCTCAGCTCTGCATACACACTTTCATATAAAAGCTCTATGACAAATAATTCCTTGAAGCATTTCTCTGTTTAAGTGAGAAGGGTGTTAAGCCGTCTCATGAACGCGTGTTGCAGGAAGAAGATTCCTGCAGTTTCTGGGACGGTACAAAAGTTTGGTGAGTGGTCAAGAGAATTACCATCCCGCGGGGCCTGCCCCAGCCACAGGCCCTGACCTTGCAGCTTTAGCTTGACAATAACCTTTCTGCCGTCCTCTTGACACAGAAACCAGAGGCCAGGGAGGCCTGCAGGCAAGTGCCTGCCCGTACTCCTTCAGCAAGCCTACACACAGTGACCTGTGGCTGGGGGGTCCTCACACTGAGCAGTGTCCTTCAGCTTCGAGTCTCCCCTTCTTCCCCAAACCCCTCCATCACCCCCCACCCCACCCCAATGCATTCTGAAGGCCTTCTGCCCCCTGCTGGCTCCCAGACTCCCAAGGCATCCCCACAATGGTTGGTGGTCGCTCCCTTCTACCTACTTCTCTACCTTGCTTAAAGGAAGTTGAATGTCAAGAATTAACTACGATAAAAGTGTAACTATAGGATATAAGGAAACTTTACATGGTCCCTAGAGCTGAGGAAGAGTACTCAAGAAGGACAAATTTGAAAGGGGTTTGGACCTCATTGGACATGGTGTGGGTTGGTTACCAGATAGCAGAGAAGTTCACTGGTTTACCCGGGCTGGAGGTGGTCTGGAGTCGCCGGGCAAACAAAAGAGAAGGGGTAGAGGAGAGCCAGCAGTCTCTGCCATAATGTGCTTTTTTTATGCTTTAAATTTTCTAAGAAGGAGCTACTTTTTAAATTGAAAACAAAAATAGATCATATTTTAAAAATTCATATGATTTCATAGTAGAGACTATAAAAAGGGATATGGTAGAGGAGTAGGAGGTGCTTAGAACCAGATTCTAACCTACAGACTCCAACGAGGAAGGAATAAGAGATGCCCTCCAAGAAGCCAATACCCAATGAAATCAAGATGTTAAAGGGCAGGGGTTTGGAGGAGGGACACATAAAGGAAAGTACGTATGAAAAAGGGCCACATATGAAAGGGGAGTATCAGGAAGTCTACAGCACATAATACACAGGCTTAATAACAAAAGGAGCTCCTATTTTTTTATTGGGGCCGGGGGAAGGGGGATATTTGTAATCCTCAATATTAAGAACTATAAGAAAAAGGAAGAGATAATCCCATTGCTTGGGACCGTATGATATGATGTGATAAGACAGCTGAAAGAAAACAAATAGCCAATGACTATTTTGCTTTATCAAAGAAGATGATCCTCAAACTGTAAAGAATAAGGAAAATAGCAGTAAGAGGAAATGAAAGTCAAGATAAGTACAGTGATAGAAAGCACTAAGTTGCCTTAAATAGGTTAAAAATCTTCAGATCCAGATAAGTTATATCCCAGCATACTGAAAGTGCTTTAGATTATGACCCCAAAACCTTTCTTATGGCTCTGAGAAAATACGTTGGAGGAGATGACCTAAAGCTAAATATGAATACTTGCTATCTTGAGTCACATAAAAGGAAAAAATGTGTTCCAGACACTATACCCTGGTGAACTTGATGCCTATTCCCAGGATGGTTTGTGACCACAACAAAAGGTGATTATCTAGAGGGCTTTAGTGATTTGCCAAAGTCCATTTCATGCCAAATGGACATCATTTCAAGTTGTTGGAAGAATTAATTGATCATTAGAATAGGATTATAGCACAAACAATAAAATTTGATTCTAGCAAAGCAGCTGGCCCCGTTTTATTAGTCATGACTCGTTACTTGTTCAGTTAAAAGGCAAGGCAGAAAGGCTATTTATTAGCTCATTTAACAGGACACTGAAGTAGCTCTTACCGTCAAGGATGAGCTGCAGAAACCACGGTCTCAAGGGATCAGAAGCACAATTCACCTCCCAGGCCTTCTTTCTTCCTGTCTCAGTCTGCTCCTCAGTGTTTGGCTTCATGGTCAGGTGACTTCACTTATTGCTGTGGGGAGGATGGCCGTTGGCAGCCCCATATTCATATTTTCCAGGCATGGCAACCCCAATGGAAAAAAAGCTTCTTTTTCCTCATAGCAATCACACGGAGTGACTTGTACATTTATTTTTCACATTTCTATACAGCTGGAATTTTTCTCATTTATTACTTTTTAATAACATTTTTAAGAATAAAAAATTTTTCTTATATCAACACTAATATAAAGAGCTCTGTGGACAGACTATTGCTCACTTAGCTTTTCCCCTACTGTTGTACATTAGTTTGTTCTCAGATCCTAGCATTATAAATAAAGCTGCAATCATCATCTTTATACATAAATCTTGGTCCATGACTGATTATCATGTTAGGGTGGAGTACTAGAAGTGGAATTCCTGGGCCAAAGTTTTTAAATATTTTCAAGGTCTCTTGATACATGTTGCTATATTGCTTTTAAGAAATGGCCCTATACTTCAATATCACATTGAGTAGATTATTGTTAAATATATATATGTGCCAAAAAACTGTCATTCCCGTTGTTATTTTAATTTTCATTTATCCAATTACTACTTACCTGTACTAAAAGGGATAATTTCAGTATGAAGCAGTAAGTGCTAAGGTAGCAATGTACTATGGGAGCTCTGGGTGGAGCACCTTACCATTTGGAATGGGGTATTGGGCCGGGTTGGAATATTACTCATCTTACTTAGAATGGGGTAGGAGGGAGGCAATACTCCCAGAGCCCTCTGCATGGACCAGCCCATGCCTGTGGTATTAGGGAAGGCTGATAAAAAGAGAAAGTCTGAAAAAAAGCACATCATCAAATTTTGACATATCTTCCCTGCTCATTTTCTGTGCCTACTCTCTCCCAACCCTCCATCCCCCAAATCTGAAAGGGGTGTCTGTCTTACCTGGCCTCCCAACATTCCTTTTGTCAGTGCCCATTCTAGGAAACCACTGGTAAAATTCCCCTTTCTGACCTCACACCTCTATACCAGTTTGAACTCTTTGTTGCAAATAACAGAAACCATCTCTGGCTAAGTTAAACAGGAAATCAAGATTACTGGGAGGGTGAGGAGGAGGGAGGTTGTTGGGACTTGGAAGGGAGGAAGCACAGTCCAGTCATGCTGATATAATGCTCCAAGAACCCAAGAATCATCTGGTTAGGATGCTACCATTAATGCCCTCTGCTCCTGCCACCATGAATAATCTCTGCCCCTGCATCTTTGGGTCACTTCTTCAAGAGGTGATGACTATCTGAAGTGGGAGCAGTCCACTGACTGAGTTGAGGTGAGGCCACATGCCTGAGTCCTAGTTACCAGGTTAACAGGAAAATGAAGTATCTGTCCCTATAGGATTTGTATTGAAGGAGGCAGGGCCCTGCCCAACCCAAACCCACTCCAAGAGGAAATCTCTCAGCTAGGAGAGGTGTTTGTTTAAATACAGAATAGCTAAAAAATGGAAAATGTCAACTATGACCCTCCCCACCTTCATGTGATTGATTAATGGTTTTCTCTCTTTTGTGGAAAATCAATGAGATTAGCTATCAAATTTAAGTAAGGCCAGATTTACAACATTCCAAGAGAAATACCTATGCAAACTGATTTTTACTTTCTAACTTCGTCATCAAAAAACAGACAGGGACCCACCTGTGACCTCATCTCAAATGAGGTAATGGAATTATGATTAGCCCTTACCTCAGCCTTCTTTTTTGTCATACTTGAGGTAAAAAACACTTGACCCTCTTTAAGCAGTCAGGGATTATGGGAAAGAACCTGTTTCTACTGCCCTTCCTTTTTTAAAATCAAGTCACTCCCATCTCCAATAGCTAAGATTTTGGAAAAGGCAAGAAGTATCACCAGCTAAAGACCACTTCCAGACCGACTCTATAAGTTTCCTAAGGCTGCTGTAACAAATTACCACAAACTAGGTGGCTGAAAAAAAATGATTCTGTCACAGCACAGGAGGCCAGAAGTCTGAACTCAAGGTGTCATCAGGGTTGGTTCCTTCTGGAGGCTGTGAGGGAGAACCTACCTATTCCATACCTCTGTCCTACTATCTGGTGGTTGCGGAAAGTCCGTGGCGTTCCTTGGCTTGTTGATGCATCACTCCAATGTTTGCCTCCATCTTCATATCACCTTCTCTGTGTGTCTCAGTGCATCAAATCTCCATCTCTTTTCTCTTATGAAAAGTGAACATATCAGAAGGGTAGACTATGCTACTTTAAATGTTGTTCTTTCCTCTTTTGTTTATATTGGATCAACAATCACTTTAAAGCTTTATTCTATTGTAAAATTAATACATATTCAATGCAAAAAAAATCAGAAATATTGAGAAAAGTACAAAGAAACCACACAGCAACCATAATATTACTATCCAGAAGTGAACCATTCACATTTTGTTGTAGTTTCTTACAGGCTTTTTTCAATGCAAATGTACAGAAATGCTCTTTTTTTTTAAACAAAGTTGGAACTATGATACCTATTTCTCTGTAGTTTCTAAAGTTACAATGCATTGTGCACATATATTTTTCCATATAATTAATATAGTTATATCATAATTTTAATGGCTATATAACATTCTTCTTAAGAAAGGCCCCACCGAAGGACATCCAAGTTGTTCTCAGTTTTTTACATACATAATGCTGTGGTAAATATCATGATGCACACATTTTTGAAAACTTTTAAAAGGCAAAATTTTGAGTTCAGAATATATAATAACTTCTGTATCTTAAATGTGCATCAAAGGAATTCCTGATAATCCCTCCAAACTAGCTTTTGCCACTGCCTTCCACATGTGAATACAGCTTCATCTCTCCATTAGCTAAAACAAAAAACCAAACACTGGAATCATCCTTGACTCCACTCTTTCTCTAATGTCTCAGTCCAATTAGTCAGCAAATTCACTTGGCTCTTTCTTCCAAATATACCCATAATTTGACCATTTCTCATTACATGCATGCTCTCACACTGGTCTGTGTCACCGTCATCTTTTGTCTGGATAATTGCAGTGACCTCCTAACTAGAGCTGCCAGATATAGCAAATAAAAATACAGGACACCCCATTAAACTAGAAGTTCAGATAAATGATAATTGTTTTTAAATATAAGTGTGTCCTAAATATATCATTCTCCATGCAGCAGCCAGAAGGATTCTTTCAAAAAGTCAGAATAAGTCACCCTGCTCAAAATCCTGTGATGTTTTTTCATCTCATAATAAAAAGTAAAAAAAGAAAAAACAACAAAAAAACTCAACCTTGCAGCTGAGGCCCACAGCCCTGCTGGATCTGCCACCAGCGGCTCTTTGCTCTTTGATTTCATTGTCCTCGCTGTTATCACCTTTCCACTGCTGGCAACTCTCTTCTTCCAAATATACCTAACCTCCTTTAGGTCTTTGCTTATACTTCTGAGCAAGACCTTCCCTAATTCACTGTTTAAAATTGCACACTTCCCTCCCCCTACTTTATATATCTCTGTAACACTTACCACCTCTTAACAAATATATTTAGTCTTTCTCCTCCCACCAGAATTTAAGTTCCATGAGAGTATTTTTGCTTTTTGTTCACTGCTGCATCCGCAGTGCTTAGAATAGTGCCCGGCATATAACAGATGCTCGATAAATATTTAATAAGTGTTAAATTAAAGAAATGTAGTTATCCAAATCAATAAATAGCTTTTGTTTCTGTTTCGCTAGGACTTGCACATTCTGATCATTCAGCATGTTATCTATTTCAAAGTAGTTGAGTAACTACTGTTATCTTAGAGAAGCCATTTTCTGTAATTCTATAATAGCAAACATTTCTAAGTGCAGATACGGTTCTAAGGTATACTATCTTAGATCTTCAGGTATTATTATTATAATTCTTTTAAAGAGGAGGAAATTAAAACCCGGAGAGGTGAATAATTTGCTCGAGATCGTACACGTGGGACATTTGGCAGTGTTGGATACTGAACCTGCACTAATTGCAGTACTCTACCGACTCGCTTTTAACTCCCCTTCTGTTTTCTTTTTAACTTGTTTTGGTTAAGCCATCAGTAAGAGGCTCTTAAGGGTTAAAGTCAAAGCCCGACAAAGGCCAACTGCTTTTTACCTCTCCAGTCGGACTCGGCATTTAGCGCTAGCATCTTGCACTGGGAGAAGCCGGAGGCAGGTGTCGGGGCGGGGCGGAGCCGCCGATCAGAGCGGGCGGGAGTCTCCCTTCCCCCTCTGACAGCCACGCGCCAAAATTCCAAACGCGACTTCGCGCCGCTACCGGCCATCTCCCTCCGCGGCGTCCAGCGAGCCGGAACTATATGAGAAAAATAAGTCAGCGTTCTCACGCCCCTGACTGCTCAGGGGCTCAGCACCGCGGGCGCAGGTTCTCAAGTTCGGCCCGAAGTCCTTCGCTCTCCAGATGGGAGGGTAGTTCCGATCCCGCCGTTGGAGGGTGGCAGTGTGGGCGGGACGGGCGGCGGATGGATTCCGGGAGCGCGCGCGGAGCCCGCTGGCGCGGAGCTTGTGGCGCCAGAATTCGGAGCGCGGAAGAGCCTGAGCGTCTGCAGCCCGGCGCCCGGCCCCGTCTCCCGCAGCCGACGTGGGCACCAGGAGCCGGAGAAGATGGTGGTGCTCCGCAGCAGCCTGGAGCTGCACAGCCACTCTGCCGCCCCGGCCTCGAGCTCCCTGGACATGTCCAACGGGTTCCTCATCTCGGAGCAGATCGGCCGGCGGCGGCTCCGCTCGGCCCGCGCGGCTGAGCAGTCGGCCGTCAGCGCGGCCGCCGCGGGCGTGAGTACCGGGCCGGGGCGGGACGCTTGGGCCGGGCCTGGGGGGACTGCTCGTGGCCCGTTCCCCGGGTGGGGCCTGAGGGTGGGCGACGCGGCCGGGGTGACAGTTGGGGGGTGGGGGCGGGGGCGGTTGGGCGCAGTCTTGCGGAGGAGGAGTTAAAATGGAAGGCTTCTTAAGATCAGAGCCCCAAGGGGTGTGGGTCGCATGACGAGATCGGACGGGACGAGGGCTATGCTGTTGCTGCCCGCTTGTACACCAGAGGAAGCCGAAGCTCCCCGGAGCTAAAGTGAAGTAGCGGGGCGAGCCTTGGTGTGGGGGGCAGCCCCACCCCCAACCTCACGCACACACGCTTTCCCTAACCCATCGCTCAGGCTCCCGCCCCAGGTTCGCAGCGACCGGATGCAGAACACATGTACTGACTGACAACTATGCCTAGTGACGGTGTTAGGGCTCACGGGGACAGAAAAACTGGGATCCGGGTTCCCTGACCTCCATTCACGGCCCAGAGAGGTTCCGTAATAAGAGCGCAGTGACTAAAGACCAGCTTGCATAACCCGCAGGGTCGGAGACCAACATTTCACGTGCACCCTCGTCACTCAAAGCCCCACGAACAGCTCCACGAACGTGGGTGGTTACACTCGTTTGACAGACGAAGACGCGGACTCAGGAAGGTGACCAGTCCGTGGTAGATCTCACGTTGGAACTTGGGGTTCTCTTCCTCCAAAACCCTTCCGTTCGATCGCGCTGCAGTTATAAACAGCGTCTCTAGGGGAAGTGTCCGAGGGGGTGGGGCAGCCAGGTCCCCTGGAAAGAAGTGCTTCTTGGAGGGAGGGCGTCCCCTCCGCCTCTCCACCCTCGCTGCTGAAAGAAGCACACAGGTGGAGGGGACCGCGTTAACAGAAAAGGCTGGAGAAGCCGAGAAAGCAGCGCTGGTAAAAAATTAAGGCCGCAGGAAGTTGTCTCGTTCAGTTCGAGAGCGGCTAGGCACGGAGGGGGCGGGGAATAAGAGCCGCGAGAAGGATAGGAACTGGGAAGTCCCAGCGACAGCCCGAGGGGGAGGTCTACGTGTGGCAGGAGAGAGGGACGACACTTAGTTAAGGGAGTGGTCGCTGTATGACGCGAGTGGTCAGTTTCCTTAGATGCCCCCACGCTAGCTGCTCCTCTACTGAGGGCAGCGAAAGAGCCCGTTGAGCCTCTCAAATTGTGATTCTGGATTGTAAAAGCAATTTCCTGGCTTGCAGGATGTTTCCCAGTCGTCCAGAAGTCGGTAGTGATCTGGGGAGGCCAGACACTTCTGCACGGAACTCTGGTCACCTGATTTGTTAGCCTATGTTTGGAAAAGCTAATTACTTCAGTAGATATTTATTGAATGTTTCGTGCCTTCAGGACAGGGCTAGATTCTGGGACTGTGATGACGTGTTGAAGGCTGGTTAAGTAACACAGGTGCTTAATACAACTGCGAGCTTTGAATCTCAGCTTACCAGCCATCAGAAGGCTTCTACGTGTTAAAAGGGGTGATACCACATGCATGGGTAGCAAGAAGCAAATGTGATCATGCATATAAGGAGATTACCTGAACACTCGGCATATAATGTAGCTAGGACTTAGTCACTGACAGCTGTTAAGACCACAATTTTAGTTAACAGTCACTGTCTTTCCAGTTCCTCATGTCAAAAACCTTAGAGTCGCCTTTGACTCCTCTCTCATTTCATATTAGCAAATTCTGTTGGCTCTGCTTTCAAAATATGTTCAGAATCTGACCACTTCTCAGCCCCTCCATTGTTGCCATGCTGGTTCAAGCCATTATTGCCTGGATTATTAAAATAGATTTTTGACTGGCCTCCCTGTTTTCCACCATTATATATAATAGCCCCCTCTCAACATTCAGTTCTCAATATAGCTTACAGAATGATCTTTTTAAAAGTCAAAACACTTAAGCACGCCTCTGCTCAAAAATCCCTATCAAAGGGTAAAGGTTTAAAAGTTTGGTAGCAACCCTGCATCTTTTGCCCCCTTCCCTTTATGATGAAATCCTCTTCCATTCTCCCTTTTGCAAAACCCAGTCTATTCCAGCCACACTGGCCTAGCTGCTCCTTGAATACCAGGGCCTTTGCACTTGCTCTACCCTCAGTTGGGAATTCTCTTCCCCTGCATATCTGCATGACCCGTTCTTTTATCTTTCACATTTTTTAATTAAAAAAAAACAACCCAAAATCTCAGAACTCATGGTGCTTAATGTATTTATGTTGACAAAGCCCACCAACACCAAATCTGAAACATACCTTTGTGATTGGAATATCTTCTGATTTGGAACTTTATTTTCAATACATTTGATTCAATTATAACTTGCTTTTTACATCAGTCACATATTTCAGAAACTTAGCATCCTGACTGTATTTGGGTCTGAGTTGTTTGTTTGTTTGTTTAATTTTATTGGGGGACAGTGTGTTTTTCCAGGATCCATCAAGTAGTTGTTTCAATCTAGTTGTGGAGGGTGCAGCTCAGCTCCAAGTCCAGTTGCTGTTTTCAATCTAGTTGCAGGGGATGCAGCCCACCATCCCATGCGGGAATCAAACCGGCAACCTTGTTGGTAAGAGCACGCGCTCTAACCAGCTGAGCCATACGGCTGCCCACCAGCAGCTCAGCTGCAGCTCAACTCAAGTTGTCTTCAATCTAGTTGAAGAGGGCACAGCTCACTGGCCCATGTGGGACCTGAACCGGCAGCCTTGTTGTTCAGAGCACGCAATGTAACCAACTGAGCCACCCGGCTGCCCCTGTTTGGGTCTAATTTTAGTTCCTAGTTTCCTCAGCCACATATTTATTGACAGAGCATTTCTTAGGGTAGGTTGCTTTTAAATATGGTTAAATTTATTCATACTAACTCATTAACTTGATTTTTTCTTCATCAAATCTCAGAGGCTGACCTTATCTTCAAGTTCTGAAGGTACCTATAGTCACCTATTTATCAATCATATTCTACTTTGACATTATGAATATTGTCTCACTAAGCTGGATGTGAGGATTTTTTCCTTCCTGACTTGTATGGATTCTCCAAATTTTTTGTTATTTTTAATTTTTCTTTTCTTTTTTAACTTTAATTTACATCCTACCAAACTTTTGAGTTTGGATGCATCTTCTGTGGTTTGTTTTTCCTTCAGAGTCAAACTAGCCTTGTATATTTCTGTGCTTTTATAGGTCTGAGGCTCTTTGATTCGTTAAATTTAGTGTTGTTTCTCATGCTGAAGAGTCACTTAAGGATGGATAGTAAGGAGTTTTTCTGGTGATGATTACACATTACTTTTGGTTTGTGTTTACGTACATTTTTATTCTGTATGTTGTTAGGCAAAATAAAACATGCTGTAGTATGTAAAGTAGAAGTTACTATTTTTATGGTTTTTTAAATATTGTATATTTATTTAAAAGTCTGGAAAGATATTCCAACTTGACACTGATGTGTACATCATATGGGAAATTTTTTAAAACTTGAAGTATAACACAACACAGAAATATGAAAAGTGGACGACAGCTCAGTGAAATATCACAGAGCATGGATAGAGAAATTTTGACATGTGGCAATGAGTATTGCTACCTAGAGTTGAGTGACATGGCTGCTCTGCATTCAAGAGAGTATACTTGTGCTTGTTTTGACTGGCCCTTGACTTTAGATTAGAAGCTGCAACTTTGAGATTAGGGATCTGATGAGCTCCCTATTAGAAAATGGATTATAATCAACAAATCTGGAATTTGGAAGACCAGTTAAGATTATAATATTAATTATATAGCACTTGCTTTGTGCCAGGCAAGGTACCAAATATACACACGCACATTTGCCCTATAAAGTAACTTGTTATTATCCTCATTTTAGATGTGGAAACTAAAGCACGGAGACCGTATATAACTTGGACAAGATTATACAGCTTTTAAGTGATATGTCAAGAATGAATCCTAAGTAATTTATCTTAGTTTGGGCTCTTAATCAGAATACTATTATCACAATAGATCAAAGCAGAGAAAACTAGAACCTAAATTAAGATGGTGCTAAAAGGAACCGAGAGAAAAATGCCAAATAATACTGCAAGGGTCTAGAGTTATTCCAATACAGGGAGGGAAGGCTACATTGTTTCCAGCTGAAGAAGTGAGCAATCGACCGTTGGGGATGTGCCAGAGTTTGCTGAAAGATTAGCTCTATGTATCTTTGGGAGTGGTCACCTGTGTAGAGGTGATAGTTGAACCCTTGAAGGTGAATAGAAAACATAGCAAAGCACAAAAATATTTTAGAAGATCTAGAGCAATGGCTATATTTTAAGGGTGAGAAGAGGATGAATTATGTAAAAAAAAGACATGTAAACCAAAGGGTCAAATAAAGCATTTAAAGAAGGGAGCAATCAACTCCATAGAAGACAGTGAGTTAGAGCACGGGCCATTGGATTTAGCTATTGGGAGATAGTTTTAGATCTACTGAAAGAGCTGTAGATGTAGAACTCAAATTGTTGAAGCTTGTGGAATAATAATAGATGGATGGTGAGGAATTGACCACACCAATGTTTAAAGATAAAGCTAGGGAGGGTATATCACAACTATATGTGTATAACGTGTATACCATTGTGCATTAGAATATGCTGCTGTTCAAGCTTTCAAGGAGCCCTAAGTCTGGAAATTTTTTGTTGCATGCTCCCTGTACTAATTTACAGATTCTGCAAGATTATAACACACTCAAAATCTAACAATATATTTTTCTTCCTTTAAACCTTTTAAAGAGCTATCAGTGCTCTCAATATTTAAGTAGATTTTAGCCAGAGTCACATCATCTGTGACTCTGTCAAATGAGGACACATCATCTCCAGGTTTAGTTTTCAGATTAAGTATGTTTTCATTTTTCACATCTTAGGAAATTTGTTTCTGGTGATACATGTAAAAATGTAAAAAATAGAAAGTGAAAGTCCCATATCTATCATTCAGTGTTAATTACTGTTGTGATTTGGCATTGAGCTTACCTCTTGGAATTTTTTTGGCTTAGCTATATTAAAATGACTTTGATTCAATAATGTGTTGGTTTCCTTAGGAAATCAGATGTACCTAAGGTACGTGATCTAGAGGTATTTAGGACACAGAAAAAAAATTGCAGATAACCTAAATGTGTGATACATTAAGCAATTTGTTAAATAGATTCATGTAATGCTGGAATAATATTCATTTAAAAAGATTTTTAGAATATTTCGTGACGTGAGGAAATGTTTGTATTACTAGAAAAATGTTGCAACACATAAATAGTATTATCCTAATTTAAAAATCCTGTAAATATGTTTGCATAGGAAAAGAATGGTTTGTGCACCAAAAGGTTAACAGTGATTACCTGTGAATGCTTATTTCACTTAGCATAATGTCTTTTATAAGACATGTTTTTAAAAGTTATTGATATTTTAAAATTCCCCAGTATCTGCCTCTATATAGGTGATTCCCAAAAATCTGTTTTGTTTTTTTCCCCCACACTGTTAAGAGCCTTTCTTGATGCCTAGTGCATATTTAGGGAGGATGAACTAAGCCACTTGCTATGCAAATCAAAGATTCACTTATACCACTTATAAGATTAAATCTTCCAAGTTTCTCAAGGAATCTTTCTTCCCACTATTTACCACCCCCCTCCTTTTTTTTTTTTTTCCTATAGAAACAAACCATTTTTATTATCCCCAGGAATATGGTGACATTTATTTTCTTTTTTATTGTAATAAAGTATAGATAACAAAATTTATTGTTTTAACCTTTCTTTAGTGTACAGCTCTGTAGCATTAAGTACATTCACATTGTGCTGCAACCACCACCATCATCTCCAGAATACTTGCATCTTCCAAAATTGAAACTGCCCATTAAACACTAACTCCCCATTCTCTCCTCCCAGCCCCTGGCAACCAACATTCTACTTTCTGTCTCTATGAATTTGTTTCTCATATTAAGAGAAACATAGAGCTCCATACAGTATTTGTTACAAAAGGACAAATATTGTATGTTTCCTCTTATATGAGGCTCCCAGATAAATATTGTTACCAAAAATAAATATATATATGCTTATTTCACTAAAACTCTTCTTAGAGTTCCTAAATTTCTTTTAGCTCTATGTTCTTGTACATTTTTAAGCTGCTCTCTAAGGTTCCTCCAGCCCCATTGGTTTCAATAGTTACAAAAGGGATCATTTCTGTCATCTTTTAATTATGTTAAAAAGTAAAACTGTTACATCAGATTTTACAAGTATCCACTGGAATCTAAAAACCATAGTTATTTGATATCTGCCTTAGAACATTAAAAAACAATGAACAAGCTTTTAGCAGACAGAAGTTTTACCTTGATTCTTTCTTTCCTCTTTTAATTTGCAATTCCAATCCACTTAACCTACAGCATTTTATTTTCATGTATTTTTATGCCTTAAAGTAATTTGTTATTATCCTTTCATACTTATAAAACAAAATTTGAAGTTATTTTCCACTTTTCTCTGATCACAAGGCTCCAAGATAATAGTTTTTGTGTGTTGTCATAATTATTAATATTCAGTTGATCAAAGCAACAAAAACATGTATGTATTTTGATTTAAATGATTAAACATAGAAAGTAATATTTCATTGGGATTTCATGTGTGAAGTTCCCCTACTCTCTTAATTAGTTCATGTATCTGTGCATGAATCTTATTGCTAAAGACAGTGTTTGATATCAGTTACATTGTTTTTATAATTTTAAGCTCTGGGAAACATTGTTCATATAAATAAGTAGATAGTAATGAAAGGAGTTTTGTTTAGCAGTGCCACTCAGTTTTTCTGACTTATGTCCCAAAAATCATTTGCCAATATTTATTTTTAATGGTCTTTTAGCTTAATTAAGTCTCCTTTCAATTTTGTTTATCAGGAAAGAATTGGAAACCACTAAAGGTAAAGATTTGTTGCCTAGCATAGTCATGCAATTTCTTAACACCTACACTAGTGTGTTTCTTTGTTTGGCTTTAGGAAGGTTTTTAATAAAGCCTTGAAGCAGTCCACAATAGTAAGATTCATGAGTGAGAGATAGGACTTTCTTTTGTAAAATGGGAGAAAGGTAAATGAAAGAAGATGCCTTGTGTTACAGTGCTTTCTCAGGCAGATTGTTTTTAAGAAAAAGTGGAAGTTGAGGTTACACTACACCTATCTAAGATGTAGGTGTTTGTTTTAAAAATAGTACAGCAACCTTGAAGTGTAGGGTTTTTTTTTTTAAACGACCTTAAATATAAGTACACTGATAAAAACGGTAACAAATCATACACATCACTTAATATTTTATGAAGTACCTATCCAATTCCTACACAAATCCTGTGGTATGCATATCCTTATTTTATTTCCAAATATTCTGCCCAAAACAAAATTAAATGACAAAATGTCCTGATAAAACAAAATGAAATAACCAGGTAAAGCCAGCTTGGGATGGGAGGAGGGGAGACATTAATTTTATTTTTTTTAAACACTGCCTGTTTTTCTAAAATTATCAATTTTCATACCAGTAAAGCATAGAATAATGGAGTTGTTAGGTACTTTTCCTTTCTCTTCTAATGTAAAAGTATCCTTTATACGATTTCAGAGAGGTATGTATGAACTTTTGAATAATTTGTGACAGCACCTCTGTAGCTCATACAGCAGCCCACTAACTATATCTATGATGCAGAAATAAAGTTACATAGAGCTCTATGGTTTTGACAACAGATTAATGTACCTAAACAGTCTTTACATTTCAATTGTTGCATTATCTGGGTAAAATAGAGAATAACTCCTTTTTGTCATCCATGCCAAAATTATAATTCTCATAGTCCAGTTATTTTAAGATTGCTGCCAGTGGTTGCATGGCAGATAATGGTGTGTGTGTGTATCTTCCTAATTTATGTAGCCTTAAAATAAAGGAGTACTTACTGTTATGAACAATTATAACTTTTCCAGTGATGGAAAACTTCACTCTCTAGACTGACTACTTGTTATGAAATAGAACTATAAACCTCAATAAGTTTTATATTAGCCATTTCATAGACATTGCTGATATTTATTATAAAATGGTTATTTATTTGTTATTTTTAGATATTAAATATTGTAGTTGCTTGGGGAGATGCAAAATGATCCTGCACAAAAAGCAGCTGTTACAAACTCATAATCAGAGAAAACTATTAGGAGGTGTTTAACTTGGGGATTTTGACTAAAAACTTAGATGGCTTTCTTAATTTTTCTTAGGAAGTTGAAACCTACCACCGGAAACGTGTTTTAAGGACTTTGAGAAAAAGTGCCCAGAATTCTTCAGATTCTAGTTTTGATCAGAATATGGAAATAACGGAGAAACATGCTAATGGCAGGCATTTTACAAGGTAATATAAGATGGCCAAATGCCAATTGAAAATAGTTTTAAAGTAACAATTTAGGATTTGCATTTAATTTTTAAGAGCATTCTTGACTGGTCATCAAGATTCCGGGGTTGTAAAATGTAATTTATTTGAAATGGAATTGCCACAAGTGACTATTGGATTAAAAATTTAATGTGTACAGAGGTTTGTTTTTTCTTTTCTTTCTTTTTTTTTTTAAATTGGAGAATTGGGGGAGGGAAACAGTGTTGGGGAAGGGAACCAGCCAAGTTGTTGTTCTTCAGTCTTCGTTGTGGAGGGTGCCAGTTGCCATCTGGCTTCCCGTCGGCAGCTCGTGGCCTCTAAGCTCAAGGGGCTGTGTTACAATCATAGTTGCTTGTGGGTGTAGCCATCATCCCATGCGTGAGTTGAACCAGCAGCCTTGTTGTTAAGAGTGCATGTCTATCCACTGAGTCATCTGGTGGCAGCTCAACTCAAGATGCTGAGTTCAGTCTTAGTTGCGGGTGAGCATAGCCCACCATCGAACAGCCAATCTTGTTGTTACACCAGCTGAGCCACTCTGCCACCTTTTGGCAGCTCAGCGACAGCTCCGCTCGGGTGCAGCGTCACTGGCCCATGTGGGAATCAAACCAGCGACCCTGTTGCTCAGAGCTCGCGCTCTTAAGCCAACTCTTAACCAACTGAGCCACTCAGCCAGCCCTGTTTTTTATTTTCTTGTTCAAAGACATTTGTGATATGTGTGAGTGCAACTAAAAAGGCTGGTTGACTTATTTGTGATTTGTGGTTCTGCTTCATAGTCTATACCAAGAGTTGGCAAACTGTGGCTCGCAAGCCACATGTGGCTCTTTGGGTACATACATGTGGCTCTGAAGTAGAATTGAAAATGAAAATAAAACTGTCATAGTTTCATTTATAAAATTTTTAAAAGATATTATTCACATAATGGTGATTTCATTTGTTTTATGGCTCTCGAATAATTTTTAAATTGTTGTGAGAGACAGGATTGGCTCTTCGTCTCAAAAGTTTGCCGACCCTTGATCTATACAAAGCTTTAATTCAAAATAGTAGTTATGTTTTTGACTGCTTGCTATCGAGTTTTTCATCAATTCTGAGTCATTTATGAATTTCAGTGTGTTGTGCTTCTAAAGCAGTCTTAACATAGAGGCAGAACATGATTTTTTTTTTTTACTTGTCTAATGGGACTAGATGCTTTTTACATATTTAAATTTTCTTTCTCAAGAACCCTGAGGTGGGTGACGTGAATTCCATTTTAATACTTGAGGGATTGCTTTCAATGAATTAGATAGGTAGTTCGTGGAACTTGGGTTTGTTTGGTTTAGGGCAGATTTAAATCTAACTTTAATTGGCTCAAAACCTTCACTTCCCCCCCACACACACACTTTGGTGGGGCCTAATATAAATGGGAGAAATGCCAATTAGAATAAAATTTGCTTGATGAAATAATTGTTTTTACATTAATTCTTATAAAGAAATTATTCATAATGACTTAGAAGACTAAGACCTTCCCACTATTAAATAGAATTTTGATTCTTGTTTTGAGTAGCAGGTTTTCCAGATAAGTGAGGTAGTGCCCTTTTTAAGTTTGTTTTTTGTTATTATTTTTTCAGTTACTTAATCTTTTGTTATATATTTTTTAATTGGCATCTTATTTCACCCATTCTTTCTTTTTTTTTTAAGATTTTTATTGGGGAATTGGGGGAAGGGGAACATACACGTTGCTGTCCTTTTGTTCTTCAGTCTAGTTGTGGAGGATGTTGCTTCACTGGCCCAAGTTGGCACCATCATTGCGCTCTTCCCGGGCGAGGCAGGCTGCTGGCTACACACGGTAGCCCATGGCAACCCACTGCAGCAGGGGTTGCAGCCTACACCATCGCCAGCGACTCACGGCAGCCCAGCTCCAGGTTGAGCTGTTGTTCAGCATCTTAGCTGTAGAGGGCAGTGTCACTGTCCCCCATATGTGGGATCCGAACCGGGGCCCTCTGGAAACCCAAGCCAGCTCTTAACCAGTGTTCCGATTGGCCCGCCCTCACCCATTCTTTATGGAGTGTTTACTACTGTGTTTCGTAGAGTCCGAGATAGCAGCAACTGGAACACACAACATTATAAGACAATAAAAAATAAAAAAAAACACTGAAAGTTAAACTGTAACATGTAATTAATTGTAAGATACATCCCAATTTCAGAGATGTTAAAATGGGGGGAAATACACAACTTTTAGAATCAATGAAATACAATTTAAGCTACCCCACTAGTATTTCTGAAACTGGAATTCTTTTTGGGGTAAGGGCAATAGTAGTCCATGAATTCTCCATGAGAATTTTATAATTTATTTCAGGGTCTGAAAAAAAAGTAAACATTCTGGATCATCCAAATTGCTACCTATAGAGAATAGCTACAAAATCCTACATTGGTGTTTACAATTAAATTGGCACTGTTAGAATAACAGAAGATTTGTATAACTGTGCCTTGAGGATGGAATCTATATTTCTTTGGTCCTTGAGTTCTTAACTAGGGTCTAATTGTTACAGTTATCAGGGGGCACGTGAAACCTCTGAAGTAATGTTTAATCTTGTATGTGTATATGCGGTTTCCTAGGGAAAAAAGATCTATAGCTTTCATCAGATTCGCAGGGGTTGACAAAACTCCAGGCACCTGTTTTTGTAAATAGTTTCATTGGAACACAGCCATACCCATTCATTCTGTCTATGGCTGCTTTCCTGCTTCAGCTTAAGAGTTGTGACAGAGACTGTATGGCACGCAAGTCTAAAATCTCTAACTATATTTAGGCAACAGTTTATCAACCCCTGTAAGGGGAAATGTGCTCCCTTACCCTATAGGCAAAAAGGAAAGAAAAACACCCCCTTAATCTTTGTGTCCCTACCATCTAATAGGGGCCTGCTTTATAAAAGTGTAGACTATGTGGTATGGCAGGAGAGGCTCCTTTATGAGAAAAGTCTTATGAGCCTGTGGACAAACTAGGCCTTGACCTGTAGATGGATTGCTCAAAGGTTTTTATGTTGTTCTTAGTTCTTACCTGTGTTCCAAAAGAGGTAAGGAATTAATGATGACTCTGAGGATACATGAATTAATTTTTCTGGATAAGATGGCTTCATTTATTTTAAAGAGTCACATTTGAAATTCCACGTGTACAACCAGCCCACTTGCAAATAACTTGACACATAGGTTGATTAATAGATGCAGCCTATACAAGTATGGAAAATTGAGTTCCTAAAAATAAATTAATGAGACACACTGTTTTGTTAGCTCAGTGGATTTTGGGGAAAAAAAGATGAGTGGAGTGTACATTTTTTTGTCTTGGAAAGTGTACTTTCCAATTCAGTACATTCTGCCTCCCAATTTATGGGTGAGAGATCTGATTCACAAATGGGACTGTTTCTACATGTGACTGATAATGCAATGTCATGTAAAGACTGTAGCCAGCACATGTTCTTAGAAGGAAATTAACATATCACTAAGGGACATTAGTACTGTTTATAAATTCCTCAAGGACCTGGGACCACTGTACCTGTGGTATAAACACTTTGTCTTGTTTTTGCTCAATGCTTAGTTCTAAGTCAAAGATTTCATTTGTTTTAAATAAGATATTTTTATTAATTTTGTTTAGCTAAGAATTAATACATATATCATTGAATTTCACAAACAGGATTTTCAGTGTTTTTTATGTTTTTATGTATCTGTTAGTATTTACTCTCCAAGCTGATTTAATTTTTCCCCCTAGTTTGTAGTTTTATGAACTACAGAAGTTAAAGTTATGTCAGTTATTTAATATTTTTTTCATATAGGCAGTTGGCCAGACAGCAGGCTGCTAAAAAAAAAGAAGAGTGTAAAGAAGGTAAGTAAGGTTAAAGGCATTTCAAATTTTTTAAAAATGTAATTAATATTTTGTTTACAGGTTTATTGAGGTACATACAATAAACTGCCCACATTTAAAGTATACAGTTCATTTCGTTTTTGCCATAAGTACATGCCATGAAACTATCACCACAATAAGGTAGTGAAGATAACCGTCACACCCCCCGAATTTCCTCAGGCTCCTTTATAATCCCTCCTGGCTCCCTCAGCTCCTGTCCATGCCCTCTACCCCGCAGAATTCCCGAGAAACCGCCGCTCTGCTTCCTGTCACTATCAGTTAGTTGGCACTTTCTGCAGTTTTATGTAAGTGGAACTGGACGGTGTGCATTCTTTTTTGCCTGGCTTCTTTCCTGCAGCGTAATTACCTTGAATATCATCCATGTTGTTGCTTTTTGTTTCTGAGTAGCATTCCATTATATGGATATACCACGATTTGTTGCCCCTATCCTGTCAGTTTTTTGGTGTTTTCTTTTTAAGATTTTTATTGGGGGTTGGGAGCAGCGCTGGGGAATTGGGGGAAGGGGAACATACACGTTGCTGTCCTTTTGTTCTTCAGTCTAGTTGTGGAGGACGTTGCTTCACTGGCCCAAGTTGGCACCATCATTGCGCTCTTCCTGGGCGAGGCAGATCAGTCTCCTCTTCTGGATGGCCGCTCACTGCGGCTGCTGGCCGCTCACGCTGGCTGCTGGCTACACACGGTAGCCCATGGCAACCCACTGCAACAGGGGCTGCAGCCTACGCCTTCGCCGGCGACTCAGGGCAGCCCAGCTCCAGGTTGAGCTGTTGTTCAGCATCTTAGCTGTAGAGGGCAGTGTCACTGGCCCTCATATGTGGGATCCGAACCGGGGCCCTCTGGCATCCTAAGCCAGCTCTTAACCAACGCGCCACTCTGCCAGCCCTATCCTGCCAGTTTTATTGTGATATAGTTGATATATAACATTGTGTAAGTTTAAGGTGTACAAAGAATGTTAATTTCATACACATATATTGCAAAATGATTACTAACATAGCTAACATCTACATTATGTCATATAATTCTTTTCTGTGGTGAGAACATTTAAGATCCTCTTAGCAACTCTCAAATATATATTATTAACTATAATTGCTATGCTGCAGATCCCCAGAACTTACCCATAGCTGGAAATTTGTACTCTTTGACCAGCATCTCCCCTTATCTGCACCCTTTAGCCCCTGGCAACCACCATTCCAGTCTCTGTTCCTATGAGCTCAGCTTCTTTAGATTCCACATATAAATGATCATACAATATTTCTCTTTCTCTGTCTGACTTATTTTACTTAACATAATGCCCTCAAGATCCATCCATGTTATTGCAAAAAACAGGGTGTCCTTCTTTCTCATAATATTCCATCGAGTGTTTACAGATGGTCCTTGAATAACATCATTTTGTTCAAATGTTATTTCATTATAACATTGATGAGATGTTGTAGGAATTTAACCCTTGATTATATCAATTAGCCTACTATAAAATTGGTTTCATTATATGTCATTTTACTTAAAGTCTCAGAACATGTGGACAGCAGTAAGTGAGGACTTAGTGTATTCCACATCTCCTTTTTCCATTCATCATTGACGGACACTTAGGTTGTTTCCCACGATTTGCTGATTCATCTTTTGATTGATGTTTGTGTTTTTTCTGGTTTTTGGGGCTATTTCAAAACTGCTTTGAACATTTGTGTACAAGTCTTTGTATTATATAGATTTCCTTTTTTCTTGAGAGGGGAATGACGGGATCATATGGTAGGTATATGTTGGAACTTTATTTTTGTTTTCTAATATTTTTAAGAAAGGTTAAGTTCAAGATACTATAATTTTGTTATGTGGAAGTATAGCTATTCAGTTGTTCATTTTAGAATTGTTTTATAAATGTTGTTATTTCATTCCATTTTTTATCTACACATCTATGAAGACAAAGGGATTCCAGTTACTCAGTCATTGAGGACCAGAAACATCGTTCAGACTGCAGAACACTTGCATGAAGAGAATGGTGATGTCGAAGTTCGCCGCAGTTGTAGGATTAGAAGTCGTTACAGTAGCGTGAACCAGTCAGTGCTATTTGACAAACTTATAACGAAGTAAGTAAAATTTATTTAGATCAAGATGATTTAGCTGGCAAAACTTTTGTTGGGGCAGGATCATAAATTTCGACTAGGGAAATACTTAATGCATTTAGTTTGTATAAAGCATAAAGGAGAATGATTATTATTAGAGGACTCTGTACTAACTGCATATACATATTTAAATTCTTTAAAGAAATTTAAAAATTTTTATACAACTAAATCAAGAAATAGATATTTAAAATCTTAGCACTCAATATAATAGAACATTAAGTTTCTAAGAATGTACTATTTTACAGTTTTACCTTATATTTATATCAATTTTTTTTAAGCACTGCAGAAGCTGTACTTCAAAAAATGGATGACATGAAGAAGATGCGTAGACGGCGAATGAGAGAGCTGGAAGACTTGGGAGTGTTCAATGAAACAGAAGAAGTAAATATATTCTTGCATCAAGGGGATGATTTAATAATCTTCAGTTTAACTTCCTTTCTGTAGTACCTATCTAATTTGGGTTAAATTGGTCATCATTTTATTCAGCATTTGTTTGATCTGTTATTTGATTAGTTATTGCTGCAATTGTAAGACTTTATAGCTATAAATAACTTCATTTTGAGTAAGATTGAAACATAAAATTCCTACTGAATTTTTTAAATAAGTGTATTAAATGTTAATGGCTTTTATTTATATGTTTTTAGGGGAATCTTAATATGTACACAAGAGGAAAACAAAAAACTATTCAAAGAGCTGATGAAGAAACAACTGACAATCAAGAAGGCAGTGTGGGTTAGTCCTTTCTCTTGTTCTGTCTTCTGGGTTTGAATTTCAGTACTTTTATTTAGTAGGACATAGCCTTTTTATTCAGAAGCTGTGACACTTACAGTAGTTTGTGAGAGATCAGAGGATTGGCCATAATTTGAAAGAAAAGTGAGGTAAGAGAGCTTAAAAGGATAGTATGTTTTGTCAGGGAAAGTACTTGAAATAAATTCTAAAGGAAGTAAAATTGGTTTGCTTGTATAATACATCTACAGATAACATAGCTCTCTACTTGTTTTAATTTTAGAAAGTGATTAAAGTTAAGTTTTGCTATTTTATTTAGGACTTATTGCTGTAATTTATTAGAATTTTTCTTGACTGAAAACCAGTTTTCTCAAATACAATTTAAATGTTTGGTTGTTTTACATTATCGTAAGTAGATATTTGAGTTATGCCCTCATGGGATTCAATGAGAGCCGGAAGGGCTAGTTGGATTGTCAAATTGAAGTTTAAAAGGCAAACGCTAAGTGAGGAGATATTCAAATTTGTCAACAGTTAAATATTAATTTTGCAGCTTAAGTGTAGTCACCTGTGTTAATGAAATTAACAGTAATAACATAAATTTTAGTTTCATGCTTACTGACAGTGTAGCCTTTAAATTTGTTTCTCTACTTCCTTTTTTTCCTTTTTCTAGTTGTTTTAATACATTTAATTTCTTCATTTTTAAAAAATAATGTTGCAAAAGAATTACAGATTCTTTCTATGAACAATCTAGAAGTAAATAAATTTTAAAATTCCCCTATATTAATTCCCCTATATTAAGAACCATTAACATTTTGTTGAGTAGCCTAAAAGTAAATGTTTCTTAATTGTAGAATCATCTGAAGAGGGTGAAGACCAAGAAGATGAAGATGATGGTGAAGATGAAGATGATGAAGATGATGAAGATGAAGATGAAGATGAAGAAGATGGAGAAGAAGATAATCAGAAACGATATTACCTTAGACAGAGAAAAGCTACTGTTTATTACCAGGCTCCGTTGGAAAGTGAGGGCTGGATTTTTTTTTTCTAGAAGACATAACTATATTACCTTTGTCTTTACTGTCCTTCCTCTGTTATTATTTCTCATGTCTTTATTTTGTGTAATACTCATGGCTGTTGTCTTCTTAACCTATCTTAAATATGCAAGAAGTCAGTTCTTCCAAAGAGTTAAATTTTAGCTTTTACCAAAGCAAACAATTGGGCTATTTTGAAATTTCAAGTCTCTCTTTATTTTAGATTTCACAGCGTTCTACTTAATTTATTTTGTCAGTTTGTATAAATAGGACTGCCTTTGATTTTTGTTAAAGTTGTATCTCAATACTTATGAGCATTTTACATGCAGGACTGATAATCAGCTGTTATGCATCAGTACAATCATAATGGTTGTTTATGCCAGTGTATGTTTCAGTTGGTTGGTGTCTGTGCTATACATGTTTTCAACAGCAACCCTGCAGACATATGATTTAAAACATGATCTGTAATATTCTAGAGTAGATTTGTACTAGTATTTTCATAGAATACAGTACCTTTGTAAGTATTTTATGAAGAGCAAAATCATCTTCATATATATTTAGATGGCATATACATCTAACTCTTTGTTTTTGTTTTTAGAACCTCGTCACCAGAGAAAGCCCAACATATTTTATAGCGGCCCAGCTTCTCCTGCAAGACCAAGATACCGATTATCTCCTGGGGGCCCACGAAGTCCTTACTGTAAACGAATGAACAGGTTTGGTTCTGAAATAGTGATTTATTTATGACAACATAATTTTGGCTATTTATAAGGTAGGATTCTAGAGCCTTAGAAGTGGGTGTATCAGGATAAAAATTCTAGAATCTTATATTTGGGAGAGTTAACTATGTCTTTCGTGCTCTAGTCCCCACTACCACTGACTAGTTTTTGCTTTTGCATCCACTAGTAGGAATTGTTAATAACTTACCGTGGTAAGGTAGTTTTCGCCATCATTCCACACTACCTGTGTTTCAGCGTTTACTGTATTCCTGATTTGGTGTTAAGCATTTTACATAGTCTCTTTCATTTAATCTTTACATGCTATCACAGGTGTATTTTACTACCAAGACAAAAATTCTAAATTACATTGCTTCTAGACTTCTCTGGACTCTGACCATCCTTTTCTGGATCGATTTTTTTAATTTGTTTCTCTTATTTAGTAGGAAAATTAATTTTCTTTGTTCAGATTATTTGTGGGTTTCTTTTCCTTCTACATTCCAGCAGTGATTGTTTGTTTGTTGTATTTAAATTCAAAGAGGTAATTCTTGTTATTTCCTCATTCTCCAAATTAATAAAAGGTTTTCTGATGCATTGGAACTTTCTGGGTAATAATAGCATTATAGTAGTTCATGAATGAACGAGCTTGTTGGTGAGGACTAAAAAGGCAGAAAAAAATGACACTGGAGGGGGAAATGGTACTTTTTTCCTAATACTAATTTGCTCAGAAGTAAGACTGAAGTCCTATGAGACTTCAGCTATTTGAACAGTTCTTGGAAGTCTCCTCCTAGAAGCAGACTATCTGATCATGTTTTGGTCATGGAAAGCAACACTTTCGTAGGTGCTGACAAATTCCTCTTTTCTAGGAAAAATATGAAATACTACTTGTGTCCCTGGGTCTTGTAATTTCATTTTCAGAATGCCCAAGTCACAAGTGTATATTCTAGACTTCTTGTTAACATCGATCCTTTTCTCACAACTGAAGCCCAGAAGGGTGGACGATCAGGAAGGCAGACTCAGTCGGTCAGGGCTCTCCAAGAGAAATCGGACTTGGAATGAGGCCATACTGTCACCACTTGTCATAGGCCCCTTACAATATTGTTAAAGCCCCACATTTTGATAGTGAAATTTAACTACCTTCAGAATAGGAGAGTAAGGTGTAGTGCTCCCTGGAATCCATAACAAGCATAGGGTCCAAGACGGCTGTCTTGGTTGCCTGACTCAAAGGGCAGACCTCTGTTCGACCCAGCAGAAATGAGAGGCTGTCAGTTACTTTGAGATTTAATTTCTTTCCCCATCTTTACTCTGTTATGTTTCTCGAAGTAACATACTTGTTGATTGTTTCTATAGTCATCACCTACAATGCATCTTTCGCAGGTAGGAATTTTTTTGCTCCTTTGGTGTTAGAGTTCCCATATTAGGTTCATAGAGTCTACTCTTTCTCTCTGTAAAGTGTCTCACATTGTGCATAGCTCCTGGGTGTAGAATTTTTCCCCCCTCCAATTATTTAACGAATGTTTCAGTACTATGTGCCAAGCACTATGGATCTAAAAATAATGAGCCAGGTTTCCTGCCCTTGGATCTCATAGACAAGCAGAGAATCCTGACACATTTAAAGTATGAACTAAGAGATTTAAGCTGTACCCTGGAGTCACATTGTTTGACTTAATCACCTTTTGGTGTTGGTTTTAGTAGCTCCCTTTAAACTTTCTTTTTAGTAACAGCTTATTGGGATATAATTCACATAATCATTATAGTTCACTGATTTACAGTAATTCACTGATTCAATGGTTTTTAGTATACTCACAAAGTTGTGAAACTATCACCACAATCAATTTTAGAACATTATTCTTGCCTCAAAAAGAAACTCTACTCTTTAGTTATTACTCCCCAATACCTCTATCCCCCCAGCTGTACGCCACCATTAATCTACTTTCTGTCTTTATAGTTTTCCCTATTCTGGGTATTTCATATAAGCAGAATCTTTTGTGACTGGCTTCTTTCACTTGGTATAACATTTTCAGGTTTCATCCATGTTGTAGCATGTATCAGTACCTCATTCCTTTTTATTGCCAAATAAGATTCCATTGTATAAGTACTTGTATACCATATTTTCTTTATCTGTTTATCAGTTGATGGACAGTGGGTTGTTTCTACTTTTTGGCTATTATAAATTATGCAACTATGAACATCTGTGTTCATACCATTTTGTCTTGGGTATATACCTAGAAGTGGAATTGCTAGGTCAAATGCTAACTTTATTTAATGTTTCGAGGAAGTGGCAGATTGTTTTCCAAATGGCTGCTCCACTTTACATTCCCATACACAGTGTATGAGAGTTTCGGTTTTTCCCCATCTTTACTAACACTTGTTATTACCTGACCTTTTTATTTTTATTTTTTAAGATTTAAAAAATTTTTTTTTATTGGGGAATTAGGGGATGGGCACAGCACTGGGGAATTGGGGGAAGGGAAACAGACAATTTGCTGTCCTTTAGTTCTTCAGTCTAGTTGTGGAAGACGTTGCTTCACTGGCCTAAGTTGGCATCATCATTGCTCTCTTCCCAGGTGAGGCAGATCAGTTGCCGGCTTCTGGACAGCCGCTCACTGCGGCTGCTGGCCACTCACGCTGGCTGCTGGCTACACATGGTAGCATATGGCAACCCACTGCAGCAGGGGCTGCAGCCTACGCCGTCACCGGCGACCCACGGCAGCCCAGCTCCAGGTTGAGCTGTTGTTCAGCATCTTAGCTGTAGAGGGCAGTGTCACTGGCCCTCATATGTGGGATCCGAACCGGGGCCCTCTGGCATCCCAAGCCAGTTCTTAACCAACGCACCACTCAGCCGGCCCATTACCTGACCTTTTGAATGTAGCCCTGTAAATCTCTTTTTTTTTCAACTTCCTTGCCAAAGTGGTGTGAGCATCTCATTTCTTCTAACAACCTTAGTGGCAGTCATTTTACTTTTTCATGTAAACACCAGCTTCTATTTATATTTCATGTTCTACTTCAGCAGCTGAGGCATGGAAACAAAGCATACATCCAAAGAATCATTTGAATGTTGCCCTTGGTGTCCATGGCAAATGGTCAAAAAACCTTGCAACCACAATTCAGGATCTTCCAAGGATCTTTTGGCAACTTATCACAGCAGAGTTTCTGGAATGCTGCCTATAAGCAGGATTTTCTTTCTTCTTTATGGTTGATAACTTCTAGTCCTCTAAGGTTTATTCTTTAGCTTTATTATGCAGTTTCTGGAACAAGACTAGTCCCTTTGAACAAGAAGATAACATAATACCACAATTGCTTCACCAGTATTCCAAAGTGCTCCTTGTCAAGGAACTAGGACTGGCAACTCGAGACCCTCTGATTAGGTTCACAATGCTTGTCCATGCCAAAGTTTTCAAAAGTTTTTAGTAAAATGGAAAAAAACGAGTATGGGTATGTGTGTTTAGAATCTTTTTAAAACTGTAATACGGGCCTTTCTGTAGTACAGAATAATTATGAAGAACCTGGACCCATGACTACAACAGCCTAGATTGCCAGCTCAGCTCCACTACTTATTAATAACCTTTAACAAATTATTTAACCTCTCTGTGCTTCAGTTTTTTGATCTGTTGAATGGGGATAAGAGCACCTATCTCATAGTATTGTGACAATTAGGTGAGTTAATACATGTAAAACACTTAAAAGAGCATCTGGTACATATTAAGTGCTACATGTGTTTATTATTGTAACCATAATGTTTACAAATAATCCCTATTTGCAAATCAAATGTTGGAAACTATTTCAGCCCAAAAGTTTTGTATTTTGCTTATAACTTGACTGGTTTTTTAAATAAACACTGGAAATCACCAGTGTCGAAATGTTTAGAATGAGGATTTTTGGAATAGAAAGATATGGATTTGGCTCTGACTGTAAGATGAACGTACCAATAAGTATTTTTTCCAAGTTTTACTTAAGATTAAATGAGATACTGTGCCAACCAACTGGTACAAAAAGCACTTAGTAAATTGTTTTATTCATTTAGTAAATGTCACTCTTATTAATTGTGAAGTTAGTCTTAATTATATGTGAATGCACACGAAATTTACATACAATAATGTGAGTTATGTGACTACAAGCTGGAGTCTCCGTAATGTCAATGGTAATGTTAAATAAGTTAGTCTTTCATATAAAATTTCAGACTTATACTGGATAATTTCAGTTACAGGCTGACCACAGAAATGGTCTTGGGCATGTTTGGGTAGGTGGATGGTTGAGAATTGTTTTCTCACCTTTATCTGTGTTTCCGTAACCCCTTTTCCAAAATCCTTGGGGCCATTTGTGTTTCAGAATTCAGAATTTTAGGGAGGGAGGGGTATTTACAGAGGTAACATGCAACATGAGCATCTCTAGTGGTATCTGGGCCAACACTGCCTACTCAAATGTATTAATTCTATAGCAAAACATGAATAATCATAGAAAATGTGACAAATGGAGACTATGAATTGCCTTTATAACATTCAGGTCATGTTTTGCTATTAAGTATATAATGGAAAAACTTGTTTTCAGAGTCTTTTAGATACAAGATTCTGGACCTACATTATGCAGATAATAGATTGTGAACCTTTTCTATTTTTGGAAATACCTACTTAACCATGATTGCACTCTGACTCAGGAGAAGCTCTAGACCTCAATCCAATGGAATAATTAAAGGTTTTCCCAGCCAGACTTTTTCCCTCACTGTGGGTTTTTGGCAACTGTCCAAAGCCAGAGTAATTTTTTAAAAATTTAAATATTTTAGCACTTGACATCTTATTTAATACCACCGCCCAACCTAAGAATTTGATTGTATTTTAATTTTTTTTTTAAGTGAGAAGATTGAGACTTACATGTGGGTTGGGTAACTCACCCACATTTACACATTAAGTGGCAGTTGTGAATTCACAGTTGATGATATACTGTAGATAAAAGGCCATCTTATTTCTTGCTGTTTCCTAGAATTTTATTTAACTCTTCTTGATCCCCTTTGGTTTACATAAAAATTATCATGTTCTCCTTTTAAGGTCATTTGACATTTCTTTTTTTTTAAAACATTTTTATTGGGGAAATGGGAACAGACAAGTTGCTGTCCTTTTGTTCTTCAGTCTAGTTGTGGAGGAAGTTGCTTCACTGGCCCAAGTTGGCACCTCCCAGCGAGGCAGATCAGTCGCCGGCTTCTGGACAGCCACTCACGCTGGCTGCTGGCTACACAGGGTAGCCCATGGCAACCTGGCAACCCACCTGCCGTCGCAGGCGACTCATGGCAGCCCAGCTCCAGGTTGAGCTGTTGTTTAGCAAGCATCTTAGCTGTAGAGGGCAGTGTCACTGGCCCTCATATGCGGGATCCAAACCAGGGCCCTCTGGCATCCCAAGCCAGCTCTTAACCAACGCGCCACTCAGCCGGCCCTCATTTGACATTTCAAAATAGGTGATTGCCTTTAAAATGTAAAATTATATATAGTATAATATTGAAAATATTTTTTTTTAATTATAGTCCCAAAGATTCTAATATCCTCTTTTTCTCACCTTTCTCTTTGAAGATAACTGATTTATATCAAGCCTAAGAAGTAACTGCCTGGACCATATCCTATCTTAATAAACATTTGATGGTCAACTCTACCACAGCCTCCTATCTTTTTTCCCCTTCCTCTCAGTTATCCAAGTTCTTTATTTCTTTCTAAAGAATCAACCAATAAAATTTACTTGATTCATTCAGCAAATGTATTAATTTTAGGATAAACCTTTGGATCATTAGGTATTTCTGATGTTTGGATCTTATGCTTATTTTCCCTGTTCTTCATTATGATTTGAGTTTTCCTCTTTAGGCGAAGACATGCAATCCACAGTAGTGACTCTACTTCATCTTCCTCTTCAGAAGATGAACAGCACTTTGAGAGGAGGAGGAAGAAGAGCCGTAATAGAGCTATCAACAGGTAAGTGCCATATTGATGCCTTTTCAGACTCCCAGCTATTATTTTAAAAAGTGGTGAGAAAGCTGAATAATTTGGGAATAGGTACAGCTTGACTGTTAAAAAATTATACAACAGGTTAATGTATAAAACCAAAATGCTGTCTTGTTTGAAATATCTACAGTTGAAACTAATAACAGGTTAGAACTTTTTTCTTTTTGCGCAGCCATTCTATAGCTCAAAATGGTGCTTGGTAAATACTGATTTCAGGAAATAATTTTTTTTCTAGTCAAATACACTCTTTTATAATAACAATAATGCATTCTTATTCCTTAGAACTCTTAAGGAAAATTGAAGGGTTTACTGATTTCATAACTCCTTGTGCTATAAATCCACATAAACTAATCAACTGATTTGATTCTCAACAATGATCATATGAAGTACATAGGGCAAGGATTATTCCCAATGTACAGATGTGGGGGGTAAGTGAAAACTGCAGTGCTTGGATTCTAATATTCTTAAGAGTAGAACACAAATGCTTTACAAAGCAATTGGAACATAATAATTGAAGGTGCATTTTTTGTATCCTAAACGCTATTCTTTTATCATATTAATGGTTGCTGCTAGCCCTATGTGGCTGTTAAGAACTTGAAATGTAGCTAGTCTGAATTGAGATATACTGTGAGTTTTTGTAAATTCTTGGATTTCAAAGACTTAGTAAAAAAAGAATATAAAATAGCCCTATTTTTAAAACACTAATTTTGTATGTTGAAATGATAATACAGTATTTTGGATATATTGGGATAAATAAAATATGTATTAAAATTTTACTTTTTTCTTTTGTTTTGTGTGGCTAACAGAATTTTTAAATTACATTTTGGCTTGCATTTCATTTCTATTGAACAGCAATGAGTTAAAGCATCCAAAAGCTGTGTTCTTAGACTACTTGGATTTTTCTTTGCTTTCATAGAAATGTACATCTAATCCTGTGGATTTTATATTATGCAGTTATATTTCTATTAAGAATTATTTAAGAAATACCCTTTAAAAAGCCACAGTTGAAAACTTGTCATCTTAGATTTCACAGTATAAATTTCTCCTGGAATTTGGGGCTAGCAAGAATTGTCACTTGAAGTGAGTGAGCATGGTACTTTTACTTGTGTTCATTTGCAGTAGTCATTCTTTGCCTAGGCATTCTGGTACAAGAGCTTAACCTCTAACATAAGTAGTTTTCATTTTTCCATTGATGAAACAAGCAGGTTCTTCTAGGCATGTTCTTTGTAACATACCATAACTGTTGAAAGTAGTTAGGAAAGTAGTGATTCGTTCTTGCTTGAGAGGATTGATGTGCATCCAAATGCTGGGAACCATGTGAATATTTTGCTGAGAGGCGTTAGAGCATAGTTTTTGGAGGTCTGGAGACAGACACCCTGCTTGGTTTGATTCCTGGGTCTACCATTTACTAGCTTGTGACCTTGGGCATTTTAGCTTACCTTTTCTGTCTTGGTTTTCTTTTAAAATAGGGGAAATAATAATACTTCACAAGGCTGTTGGGAGAATTTAATGAATTAATACCGCTTAAGAACCTAAAACAGTGTCTGGCAAATGGTAAAGATTCCATATATGTTAGAAATGATCATTATGATGTATACTAATACTGCTGAATTCTTAATCATGAATTATTTTATGGTCGTGTGGCATCTTGAAAACTGATGTTTTCATTTGATGATATAATTTTAATAGTAAAACTTCAGATATAACTATTTCTAACATTTAAGTTCTCAACCTATATAGAAAATGAGGAAGTTGAAATACATAATCTCAACATTGTTCCAGTTCAAATTTAATTTGTTTTAAATTATTTTTTAATTTAATTTATTTATTTGTTTTCAAACTTTTATTGGGGAATAGTGTGTTTTTCCAGGACCCATCAGCTCCAATTCAAATAGTTATTTCAATCTAGTTGTGGAGGGTGCAGCTGAACTCCAAGTTCAATTCAGTTGCGAGGGCGGGGTTGAGGGGGTAGCGCAGCCCACCATCCCAAGCAGGAATCCAACCAGCAACCTTGTTAAGAGCATGCACTCTAACCAACTGAGCCACCCTGCTGCGCCTATTTGTTTTAAATTCTTAAGAAAAATGCCTGTATTTTAACAAGGCATTTGGGGGAGAAAATGAGTTGATAGTTTTTGTTTTTTTTTAATCTTTATTAAATTTATTGGGATGACATTGATTAGTAAAATTATGTAGGTTTCAAGTGTATATTTCTACAATACATCTATATATTGCATTGTGTGTTCACCACCCAGAGGTCAGTTCTCCATCCATCACCATATATTTGACCCCGTTTACCCTCATCTACCACCCTCATCCCCCGCTACCCTCTGGTAACCACTAAACTATTGTCTGTGTCTATGAGTTTTTGTTTATTTGTTTGTCTTGTTTGTTTGTTGCTTTCAGTTTTATATCTCACATATGAGTGGAGTCATATGATTCTCGACTTTTTTTGTCTGACTTATTTCGCTTAGCATAATAATCTCAAGATCCATCCATGATGTCACAAATGGCAGTATATCATCTTTTCTTACTGCCAAGTAATATTCCACTGTATATATGTACCACATCTTCTTTATCCAATCATCTATCAAAGGACACTTTGGTTGTTTCTATGTCTTGGCCACCATAAATAATGCTGCAATGAACATAGGGGTACATATGTCTTGACGGATAAATGTTTTCAGATTTTTTGGGTAGATACCCAGGAGAGGGATTGCTGGGTCATATGGTGATGTTTTGAGGAGCCTTCATACAGTTTTCCATAGTAGCTATACCAAATTCCCACCAGCAGCGTATGAGGGTTCCTTTTTCTCCACAGCCTCCTCAACACTTGTTATTCCTTGTCTAGTTGATAATAGCCATTTTAATAGGTGTGAGGTGGTATCTTGTGGTTTTGATTTGCATTTTCCTAATAGTGAAGTTGAGCATTTTTTCATATATCTGTTGGCTGTTTGTATGCCTTCTTGGAAGAAGTGTCTGTTCAGGTCCCTCTGCCCATTTTTTAATTGAATTGTTTGTTTATTTGCTGTTAAGTTTTACAAGCTCTTTATATGTTTTGGATATTAGTCCCTTATCACAGGTGTTGTTTACAAATATCTTCTCTCATTCAGTCGGTTGCCTCTTTGTTTTGTTCATGGTTTCTTTTGCTCTGCAGAAGATTTTTAGTTTGATACAATCCCATTCATTTATTTTTGCTTTTATTTCCCTTGCCTTTGAGGTCAAATTCATAAAATCCTCCCTGGCTCCAAGGTCCCTAAGTTTAGTATCTGTGCTTTCTTCCATGCAATTTATTGTTTATTTTTAAAATAGGTGCCTTCCACTGAATTTTCGGAAAGATGAATCAAAAGGAATTTATAAAGATCGAATGAAAATTGGAGCAAGCCTAGCTGATGTTGACCCAATGCAACTAGATTCTTCAGTGAGTACTGCCTTGAAATGTATGCTTGAACTATAATAATGTTCTTTGTTTTCAAATGGAAAAAAAACCACAGTTATTTATTTTTTTTTCAGAAACTTCAATTTTTTCTTTTCTTTTTCTTTTCTTTTTTATTTTTAATCTTCAGGCCACAGCTAAGACACTATCACTCAGTTGACTGTGTGTGGGTTTGGGTGTAGTTTGGGGATGGAGTGACATTTTAATTTTTACTCCACATCTAAGAATGTCATTGTTTCCCTCCCGTTGCCAGGTACGATTTGATAGTGTTGGTGGCCTGTCTAATCATATTGCAGCTCTAAAGGAAATGGTGGTGTTTCCATTACTTTATCCAGAAGTCTTTGAAAAATTCAAAATTCAACCTCCCAGGTAATTTAATTATACATTTTATTGTAGCCAAAAATCTGTGCTATGCTATACTATTGTCCAGAAAGATAATGCTTCTCTGTTGAAATTGTTCAGGCCTACTGTAATTTGCACATTTTTTTTTCAAGGTCCTGGGTGCTTTGAATACTTTTTCTTTCCTAATGTTTAACATAAAAAATGGTTTCAAAATTGATTCTCTTTGGGAAAAAGAAATGGTTCTCCACAGTTTTTCATACATTTAGTATATTTTATTTTGAAAATTTAGTTTTAAGTTTGTAGCAAAGTAATATATATACATAATTTAAAAAAATCAAATAGTACTATAATTCTTTTAAAAAAACGGTCGCAGTCCCTCCTAACCCTTCTGCATTTCAATTCCCACTTTCCAGAGCCGACTACTTTTAAATTCTTTAGCTGTACATATGCTTATACTATAATTTTTCTTTTTCTTTTTTTTTTTTAATTTTAAACACAATCTGTAGAATTCTAACTATGGATAGTGGCTATTTGGCTCTTTTATTTTTCCCACCTTCCACATACACCTATGCTTTTTCTTCCTCATATACTCCCAGTAGTTCATTTACACTTACATAAAATTGTTGGATCAATTTTCAGCTTTATGACTATGTAAATCTTTCTTAAACTGATCCATATATAGTATATTATGACTACATTTCCTCTCTTTTACAACCTCCTGTCCCCCCTCAGCTTTAATACTTGCCTGTTTTTTGGTTTGTTTGATTTCGTTTTTAGTTTTTTATTACTTATCAATTCATCCACAGTCTTCACTGGAGTTATAAAGCTCTTTTCAGTACAGTTGAACATATCAAGTCATGTTTTTGGCTCCTTATTTTTCTAGGCACATCCTGGAGGCTTTATTTTCCAGCTTCCTTCTGTACTGGTTACTCTTAGTCTTGTAGCACAGCTAAGCCTTGAGACTTCCCATCACCATCTTCATGGTATTTCCGCTATGTTTCACTAATTAAGTGCATTCATGAAATTGGTTTGTAATTTTGTTTAAATAATCGACTTTTTTTTAATGTGCTACTAAAATAATACTTACCCTTTTACAGAGGTTGTTTGTTTTATGGTCCACCTGGAACTGGAAAAACTCTGGTTGCGAGAGCACTTGCCAATGAGTGCAGTCAAGGGGATAAGAGAGTAGCATTTTTCATGAGGAAAGGTGCCGACTGTCTGAGCAAATGGGTAGGAGAATCTGAAAGACAGCTACGATTGCTATTTGATCAGGTATGACATTAAAATTTCCCTATTTAGAGCTATAATCAATGTAGATGTACGTATCTAAGGATTAGATAAATCTTACATTTAATCAGTTTTCATAGATATAAACTCAAAAGAATTAGACCAAATATATAATCTTCCTAGATTATTTTCCTTTGTATATCAAGATAACACTGACCTATGAGGAAGTAAGAAGAGAAAGTAACAATTAATTGGATCTAAGTTTTTTGGAGTCTTTGGTGGGTGGGTGGTAGTTTCATACTTAGATAGCAGTAGTTGAGTTATGTCTCAATATGAGAAGATTAGTTCTGCCCTAAAGTGGCTTTCAATTTCATATCCCAGATTGTATTGACAGCACATGTGAGATAACACATTCTGAGCTACTGAGGCATATTGCTGCAAATATTTTTAAATCTCTTTATGGAACTCACTGAGATTTTTTTGTTTTAACTTTCCTGAAAGAGTTTTTTGTTGTTGTTTTTAACTATGCATTTTGCTAAATGTTTTCCCATCCTGCATGGAGGGAAGGCTGTAAGACTATCTTATTCTAGTTGTTATGTTGTTTTGACAGTGGGTCTTTAATAAAATTTTTTGTGTCCCAATAATGGTAGCTGTATGAAATCTAAGTTATGTAATCAGTAGAGTATTATTTTGAATATTTTCAATTGAAAATACAAATAAAATTAAGCTGTATGTTATTATAATTTAGCTTGAATCCTTAAAACAGAGTTCTTGAATTTACATTTAGATTTATACATTTCTGTAAGCAAGTTGGAATTAAAATGGATTTAAATGGTTTATATTAAGTCTACATATTTGAAACTTTTAATGACAACATGCAACTTTCTACTTTCTAGGCTTACCAGATGCGCCCATCAATTATTTTCTTTGATGAAATTGATGGTCTGGCTCCAGTACGATCAAGCAGGCAAGATCAAATTCACAGGTAAAACTTGCTTGATGACGTGTCTGCCTTTTTTCCTATATTCTGAGTTTTATTGATATTTCATGAGGGATAGAATGGTTAGTTTGAATGGTGAAAGAAACTTTACAAACTGGTAGTTTCTTTTTTGTTAGTAGAACCCCAATATATAGTAGGGAAAAAAATGAGCCTGTTCTGGTGGCAGGGCATTCTGAAGCACAGTATTAAAATCTTGGTTTCAGATTGAACTCATGATACAAACTTAAATGCCTACAGGCCAGTGAGTTAATGCAAATGAAATGAGTGAGGCAGGCCAGTGGTAAGAGTGGGGCTGTGGTACGGAGTATGGCTGTTTGGTCATAAGAGCATAGCCAGTTGTTTTTAACTCCAGTCTATTATTGAAGGGCAGAAGCTGAGACTTGAAACATAAATTGCCTCTCTTAAATTTTATATTCAAATTTTTGTGTTAAATATATTTTAAATGTTGCCAACTAATTCACATGTTTTTAAGACATTGCCTGAGCCAAACAAAATATGTCTTAGTGCATGACTACTAGTTGTTTAACATTCTAATGGTAGCCCGACTTCATGTTCAGGATGGAAAATTGAATGTCCCCTATGATAGGCTGCTTACTGAAAGGAACACTTTTTCTTTAGTGCCACTTCCTCAACTTGAATCTAAATTACTTTCAGTCCCTGTTTGTCTTCAATTTTTCAGAATTATCTAATTGCTTAATTAATTTGGGATACCCTAAAGCAAATGTTTGCATGCCTTCATATATGCCAGTACTATTTTTTATTGTAGATGATAATAAAAGCGGAACAAGATATAATGTGAATGATAGGTAGGTTTTGACTTTCCTAACATCTGACAATATTTACTATATTCTGGTGGCCTTCTTGGACTTGATGCTATACAATTTCATTTGTTGCTCTGAGTAGTAAATTAAAATGTTAAGTGCTATGATAAAAAGTTATATGTGTTCATATCCTACCAATAATCATACAAACTTTTAATATATGGCACATTTCATTATCAGCCGTACTGTATTCATTGTGTTAATAGGGAGAAACATTTAACAATATTAACATCACTTTGCAGTCAAGTAATTGAGTACTTACTATATTTTGGAACAGTTCTGAAGGGATTGGAGTAATTTTATTAAGCACATGCCATCTTGAATATACATACACACACACATATATTTATATATTTTGGTTACTATTTGCATGGGTTTTTTTTAACGTTTCATCTTTTTTTGTATTAAAACTTTTTTATTAGTTTCAGGTTATACATATATATTTTTACGAGAAATTTAGTGTGCAAGTAATTATGTTGATGCATCAGAAAATAAAATTTTTTAGCCTAAGATGAAGAGGATGCAGATATAAAATAAATTAAAACCCTAAAGTCTTTACTTTGAACTTAAAATATTATGAATTTATGATGAATTTTTTTATTTTTAAAGAAAAAGTAATTCCAAGCTCTGAACACTAAAAAGGTCTAGAAGCAGTCACAATCCAGTAGCAATTCGTACCACTAGCACCCAGATTGTGATCTCTAAATACTAGGACTCTTAGGAGATATGATGGGTTGCAGAACTGAGGCAGGAAATAAGCAAGACAAGCCTGGAGCATCTTGTAATGCCTAGAAGCAAGGAAGCAATCCAAGACTACAGGGTCATAGCAGTATGACATAGGAGCCAATTTTGAAGGCGTTTCCATTTGGCCAAAGATGGGACAATTTGAACATCAGAAATAATAATGACTACAACCGATTGAAATGAATCAAATAACATTTAAAAACTCAGTTTTTAATGGTCTTTTTTTTTAAAGAAAATCTAATTGACCACTCCAGAGGTTGCTAAGACATTGACTCACTACTTTGAAAATTGATAAAGAATGAATCAAACATTTCTTTTTCCTGTTCTTTGACGATGATTTAGGCCATGACTCAGGCTAATTTCATAGTTGATGAAGTAATGTTGTTCTTTATAGGAAAATCACAGTTAATAAATGCAAAGGAAATTATTGAATTAGAAAAATCAACATTTTACAACCCCTTATGAAAAAGTGAATCTAGTCCTGTTCTTTTCAACTGGGAGTGATTTTGCACCCCAAGGGACCAATGTCTGGAGACATTTTTGATCATCACAGCTGTGCGGTGGGGAGGGGAGCACTACTGGCATCTAGTGGTTAAAGACCAGAGATGCTGTTAAACATCCTAGAGTGCATAGGACAGCTGTCCACCACAAAGAATGATCTGATCCAAAATGTCAGTTGTGCCAAGGTTAAGAAACACTGATCTAAGCAATAATCAATGGCTGCTAAAACAGTAAGGTATAAAGGTTGATAGTGAATTTTTTATGGTGTGTAGAGCAAGCTGAGAACACCTCACTTAAACCCAACCCACAATCTTAAGTGAGAAACAGATGTTATGTACCTCCTGAGGTATACAATAGGAAATACATGGTATCTTCCTATGAAATGCTATCCCAAGTGGTTTAACCTGCCTCTATTAAGCTTCTAGATCTAACTGCCAGTTTATAGGAAATACAAATGATAAGAGGACAAGTTAAATGACCCCATCAGGAAGCTATCAGTACAGTCCACAGTGTAGAAAAAAAAATTCTATATGACAAATGACCTAGTTTCTTCAACAAATAAATGGCATGGAGGAAGAAAAAAAGTGAGGGAGTGTGATGGGAACTGTTATAGATTTGAGGGATGTTTGACCAAGTGTGTGTGGATATTGACTCGAACAACTAAAATGTAAAAATATTTTGAGAAATTGAGAAAATTGGATATTAGGTGATATTAAGGAATTATTATCATTTACATTGGTGTCAGTATTGTGGGAGTTTTTAAGTCCTTATCTCAGAAATACATACATAAATATTTAATATAAAATATTTATGGATTAAATGATCTGTCTGAAGCTTTCTTTGTTTTTTAAAGTTGTCAGGTTAAGACATATAAAAGAGAGTATTGTTAATTGTTGAAATTAGGTGATGAAGATATGGAGATCATTTTACTAATCTCTGTCCATAATCAAAAGTTTAAAATAATTAAAATTCTGTTTTTATGCTTTATGTGTAGTCTATTTTATTTTGGGGTCCTTTGTTTGATAATGTATATGCAATGTACTGTTTTATTATTTTTAGATACTGTTTGTTTATCCAGTACATACTAGTATTTTTTGATGTTGTGTATTGTTTGAGAACTCTCAAATTCCTTTGAGAAATGATGCTGTATGAAATGGCTTTCAGGATCCATTTGTGGCACTCTAAAGACCATCTGTGTTTCCTATTGATTTTAATCTCTCCATACCATTTAGTATGTTATTTTATAGACATTTTTAATCTGTTGAAAGTAGTAGGATGCTCTCTCAGAAAATTCGTTCACGTTTAATGTATTAACTCGTACTAAAAGAAGAAATATATTCAACATTTAATCGATTAATCTTTTCTCTCTTATTTTTAAATTTAGTTCTATTGTTTCCACCTTGCTAGCTCTTATGGATGGATTAGACAGCAGAGGAGAAATTGTGGTCATTGGTGCTACCAACAGGCTGGATTCTATTGATCCTGCTTTACGAAGACCTGGTCGCTTTGACAGAGAATTTCTTTTCAGCTTACCTGATAAAGATGTAAGAATTTAACATCACTCAAGTTCTGACAGAATATGTTACCTTTATCATGAACAAGTCTTGGTACAGTGAAAATGTGAAGATCAAGTTTTGGGTTATTATAATATGTTCTGAAGCAAATTAACACCCATGTATTTTTAGGGAGGTATTACTTTTCTTTAAAGAAAGGAGCTTGGATAATTTTTTTTTTAAATAATGCCTCCATAAAAATACTCTTAAAATTCTTTCAATTTGAGCACAGCCTTTGGATATTAATCATACAGCTTTATTTTGCTTCAGAACATATAGGCTAATAAACAGTCAATCCTTAGCCAATTTGTTAGCCTTGGCTTTTTCATGTGTACCATCATGTTTTTTTAAAGCCACTTAATATTTTGAGAACCAAGCAAGAAAATATAGGTAGATCTGTCAGTACTCTAAAAAGCCAGTTCTTAGTATGTGCCAGAATGAACAATAGTTCAGTAGTTATTTAATTTCTCTCATTCACATTTATGATGAATGGAACTTGAGTACTGTAAATATAAATCTGTTTAACATAAATTCCTTAAGCTTTTACAGATACATCTTTTTACTGTTTCATATTTCTATTTATTTAAGTATTGATATCTTTAACATTTTAAATAACTAAAAGTATTAGGTTGAAATTATTCTAACCTAAATAGTACTTTATTATTACAGATGAAAAGAATTGTTTTTATTTGTAGGCTCGAAAAGAAATTCTAAAGATTCACACGAGGGATTGGAATCCTAAACCACTGGACATATTTCTAGAAGAACTAGCAGAAAACTGTGTTGGTAAACATTGCTTTTTAAACATTAAAAGAAATATATTCATTTCAAAGATGAAACAAGTTGTAATCTTGCAAGGTTATATTTAAAGAAATACAAGGCTGTATTTGATTTTCATCTCTTATTTGTGACATATTTTCTTCCTACAAAGTCTTTGGATATTAAATAGAGATATTTGACAAATTGGCTGTTGGGGAATTTGAGAGCAAAGTAGACAATGATAATAGCTATCTTTGCTGACTGTGTACATTTTTCTGGTCATCCTGTTAAGCATTCTACATGTATTATTTCAGGTGATTTTCACATCAGTCCTGCAATGTAGGTAACATTATGCCCATTTTACAGATGTAGAAATGGCTGACAGAGCATAAATGATTCTCCAAAGATCACACATTTAGTAAATGACAAACTGGAATTTGAACCTTGTTTGAGATTTTAAAAGTCTTGCTCTTTACTCCTGTGCTGTATTAGTGTTTGCATATTTCACTCAAAAAAGTTGATTTGTTGATGGTTATCACCATCATATAAGTTCACTAGGTAAAACAGAAATTTTAGTCTTATTACTCCTAAATATTTTGCTATTATACTATTAGGGTGATTTTTAATTTTTTTTAAACCATGATCATGCTAATAGGATGGTGGCTTACTATTTCTTTCTTTCTTTCTTTTTTGCTCTTGAGTAGGATACTGTGGTGCAGACATTAAGTCAATATGCTCTGAGGCTGCTTTATGTGCTCTGCGCCGACGCTACCCACAGATCTATACTACCAGTGAGAAACTGCAGCTGGACCTCTCTTCAATTCATATCTCAGCTAAGGACTTTGAGGTAGCTATGCAAAAGATGATACCAGCCTCCCAAAGAGCTGTGACATCACCCGGGCAGGCACTGTCCACCATTGTGAAACCACTCCTGGAAAGCACTGTTCACAAGATCTTAGAAGCCCTGCAGAGAGTGTTTCCACACGCAGAAATCAGAACAAATAAAGCATTAGACTCAGGTATGAAACTCGACTATTTAAAGTTAGTTTGCATAATCAGTAAAGCTAAATGTTTTATATATCCCAGAAATGTTTCTTTATACAGAGCCTCTTGAAAGGAGTTTGGTCATGCTTTGCTTGGATATTTGAAGGAAATTTACTTTATGAATTGCCCTTAATTTAATCTATTTTAAGTTTGGGATGCATTTTTATTTTTACAGTAGGTCCTTGAATAACATTTATTTATTCAACATGGTTTCACTGTATCATTGATGAGATGCTCTAGGAACTTAACTCTTGTTTATATCAATTAGCTTAGGGTAAAATTGGTTTCTTTAAAAATTGTTTTGCCTAAAGTCACAGAACCTATGGACAACGTTAAGTGAGGACTTACTGTACTTGTTATTCATACCTACACAAATACTTTTGATTCTCTAAAAAATGTCATTGCAGTACACTGATTGCTAATTGAAGCATTACATAAAAATTTGCTTTGCAATCCAGCAAAGTTACTAATGTACAATTCTTTGTTTTATAGATATTGCTTGTCCCCTGCTGGACAGTGACTTGGCATACAGCGATGACGACGTTCCATCAGTATATGAAAACGGGGTTTCTCAACATTCTTTTACTAAGGCAAAAGAAAATTTTAATTTTCTTCATTTGAATAGGTACATTTTCCTTGCAAATGAATATATTTTTTTTGGTGTATAAATTCCCTAAAACTAAATGAGATGGTGGTTGAAAGATTAAAGATGCCAACTAGTCTGCTTTTTTTTTACGTCAAAATATCAGAAAATCTTTTGTTGTTATAATTGTCACTATAGTAGAAATTCCACTGTATAAAGTATTCTTAAAAATCTGTGGACATTGTTTCCAAAAACCATGTGAGCCATGCTTTTATGATTGGCCAACTACATATTTAAAATTTTTGACTTACATAAGTTCATAATTAGTGATTTGGGAGAAAAATTTAAACTGTTTTTTTTTTTTTTTAAGATTTTTATTGGGGAATTGGGGGGATGGGAATAGCACTGGGGAATTGGGGGGAAGGGGAACAGACAAGTTGCTGTCATTTTGTTCTTCAATCTAGTTGTGGAGGACATTGCTTCACTGGCCCAAGTTGGCACCATCATTGCGCTCTTCCCGGGCGAGGCAGATCAGTCGCCGGCTTCTGGACGGCCGCTCACAGCGGCTGCTGGCCGCTCACGCTGGCTGCTGGCTACACACGGCAGCCCATGACAACCCACTGCCACAGGGGCTGCAGCCCACGCCGTCGCCGGCGACTCATGGCAGCCCAGCTCCAGGTTGAGCTGTTGTTTAGCATCTTAGCTGTGGAGGGCAGTGTCACTGGCCCTCACATGTGGGATCCGAACTGGGGCCCTCTGGCATCCCAAGCGAGTTCTCAACCATCGCGCCACTCGGCCGGCCCTAAACTGTTTTTTTTCTAAAACATAACTTATTACTCATTTCTTTCAGAAATACTTGTTATCAACCTATGTCTTTTCGGCCAAGAATATTGATAGTGGGAGAACCGGGATTTGGGCAAAGTTCTCATTTGGCACCAGCTGTCATCCATACTTTGGAAAAATTTGCAGTATATACATTAGACATTCCTGTCCTTTTTGGAGTCAGTGCCACATCTCCTGAAGAAATGTGTGCCCAGGTAATTTATTGTTGCCCGGACAAATAAGCTGTAAGACAAAGCAGTCTTCCAGAGACAAAATCTAGAATTGCCTCGTTTCTTTTTGTACTGTTTTTTGTCTTTCTGATTTGCACCTTTAGGTTCACAAAATAAAACTGTGTAATTGCTTAATCATTAAAGAATATGGGTTTAAATCTTATTTCCACCAGTTAATATCTAAGTGACCTTAGAAAGTTATTAAAGCTTTCTGCCTCATGTTCCCCATTTACAAAATGGAGATAATAGTATTTACCTTGTATGGCTGTTGCAAGAAATAATTTAGTAAAGTACTTAAAACTGACTGCTATGTAGTGAGTACTCAGCCTGCTGCTTCTGTTTTTGCTATATTTATATTTAGATATTTTTAATGTAAAAGTGTTTTTTATTTATATTTTTATATTTAACCTTGTTTACAACAGAAAAGTCTTCTAGATTTCTTGAGCTCTTTTCTAATTGCTTGAAGCAATTATGTTTTCCTAAAAATGAGACTTACAAAACATTTAAAAATAAGATTATGGGATTAGAGGAAGCATTTTAAACTTGAGGGTTTTAGATGATAATTCTGGGAAGTTAAACATTGTTCCAGACTAATAAAGCTAGCATCACTGATGGGCTGCCTCTCTGACTGAATGTAATTTTTTTGTCTCTCTACAAGATGATTCGTGAAGCTAAGAGAACAGCACCAAGCATAGTGTATGTTCCTCATATCCACTTGTGGTGGGAGATAGTTGGACCAACACTCAAAGCCACTTTTACCACATTATTACAGAATATCCCTTCATTTGCTCCAGTTTTACTACTTGCAACTTCTGACAAACCCCATTCTGCTCTGCCAGAAGAGGTAATTTGTGGGGGGGAAAGTCATTATACTTTAAAAAGAAAGTTATTTGTATTAAAGTAATAAGAACTTATAAAAATTCCAAGTGCTGTAGAAGTGAATAAAATGATAAGGAAAAGTTTTCTTATCAGAGATACCATTGTTAACTATTTGGTATGTGTGCTTGTTAAGCGGAATGCTGTAAGTATCTATGTATATGTGTATAGTAAGATTACATTATAAATTTTTTTCTCTTATAAAAATTGAATTATATGATGCATTTTACTTTATATATCTTATATGTTTTTCAATACATAAGTCTCATTCCTTTTAAAAGCAACATGGCTTTTTCCATTGTCTTGATGTACCATAATTTATCCAAATCCTTGTTCATAGGTATTTTGGTTATTTCCAAGTTTGTTTGTTTTTTTATTGAACTGCTACAGTGAGCGTCCTTGGTTTTTAATTTGTGTGAGTGTTACTATGTGGTTTCTAGCACCCATTCCTAAAAGTAGAATGACTGTGTGAGTTAAAGTTATGCACATTAAAATTTTTTTTATTTTATTAGGGAACAGTGTGATTTTCAAGGACCCATCAGCTCCAAGTCAAGTCATTGTTTCAATCTAGTTGTGGAGGGCACAGCTCAGCTCTCAATCCAATCACCATTTTCAATGTATTTGCAGGGGGGGGAGGGGCACATCCCACCATCCCATGTCGGAATTGAACCAGCAACCTTGTTGTTCAGAGCACACACTCTAACCAACTAAGCCACCCAGCCGTCCCTAAAAATTTTTGATAATAACCAAATTACTGTCCTTCAAGTTGGTGCCAGTTTAGACAACTACCAGTAACAAACAAAACTTCATGCTTTTTCTACCTGGAGTACTCTTCTCCTAGATAGTTGCTAGCATGATCCTTAATTTTTATCAGGTCTCTTCTCTGCTCAGATATCACCTCAGAAAGGCCTCCCTAATTGGCTTCTCAATCATAGCAATAGCTCCTCTGCCCAGCATTGTTTTTTCCTTACTCTGCTTTGTTTTTATCACTGCCTGATATTAAATATTAATTTGTATGACTCTGTCTCTCCTAGCAGAATGTAAAGTACATGAAGTCAGGGACTTTCTTTTTCTATCTTTCTGTTCCCAGAGTACATAAAAAGCATATTGTGGTTCTGTGTTTTTCTTTAATGAATGGATTTTAATAAGTTTTTTCATACCTTTGACAAAATTTGTTTGTAGCTAAGTTGTTTGTAGTTTTTAGGACATTGGTAGGAAGATAAATTCAAATATTTTGTTTAAAAAATATTTACTGAGTGCTTATTCTGTGCCAGGCATGGTTCTAGGCACTGGGAATATAGCAATGAACGATATACACAAGAATTTGTATCCTCCTAGGGCTTACATTTTAGCTGAGGGGGAGACAAACAAAAATAAATAAATATATAATACTAACCTATTGCTATGGACAAAAATTTAGCTAAGCAGTGCCAAAAGAGTCTGGTTGGGTCAAAACCTGAAAAATGTAATGTATTGACCCATTTGAGCATCCAACGGACAAAGGTTCCTGGCAGAGGAAAAGCAAGGACAAAGCAAAAATAAAAGTGTTTTGGTGTATTGGAAAAATAGCAAGAAGGCCAGATGGATAGAGCAGAGTGAGTAAAGGGCATAGTAGAAGGAAATTTACTATTTGGAAGTGCTGAAAAGGCTGCATGAAAAAGACGAAAACAACCTGAACTTGTTGCTAACAATTCATGGCTCTTGCATCACGCCAATGCACCAGTTCACAAGGCATTGTCTGTGAGGGAGTTTTTAGCCAGTAAACAAATAACTGTATTGGAACACCCTGCCTACTCACCTGATCTGGCCCCCAATGACTTCTTTCTTTACCTGAAGATAAAGGAAATATTGAAAGGCAGCCATTTTGATGACATTCAGGACATCAAGGGTAATACGACCACAGCTCTGATGGCCATTCCAGGAAAAGAGTTCCAAAATGGCTTTGAAGGGTGGACTGGGCACTGGCATCAGTGCATAGCTTCCCAAGGGGAGTACCTTGAAGGTGACCATAGTGATATTCAGCAGTGAGGTATGTGGCACTTTTTCTAGGATGAGTTTGCAAACTTAATTGTCCAACCTCTTAGAATGAAACCAGTTTTACCATAGCCTTATTGATATAAACAAGAGTTAAGTTCCTGTGGCATCTCATCAATGTTACAGCAAAACGATGTTGAACAAAGCACTGTTATTTGAGGATCCTAAAAAATCAGCTAATTTTGAGAGGCTTCCTTTTCTTAATCTTCATTTGTTTTCCAGGTACTATATAGAACCTGTCCAATCTATCTTCATAATGACAACTCTTTGTATTATTGAATACTCTTTTATGTTCATTTCTATCTCCCCATTCTGTCCCAGACTTCTTCACACTAAGCATGTCTTCTTTTTCTGTGGTATGGTATATTCCTTGGAGTCATTAATACAATAGAAGCTTATTTCCTGCTCACTTAACAATACTAGGCAGGTAATTAGTTTGACAGATCTACCCTCCCCCATGCAGTCGTTCAGACACTGGAGCTGAGAGAGCTTTCTCTTTTTCATCACATGGCTTTCCAGGTTGCTTTCATTCCATCCAGCTGAAAAGAGTGGCTTATTCACGTGCCTGATCTGAAGTGATGTATATTATTTCCTTTCACATTCTGTTTGCCAAAACTCATCACATACCCCTCTCTTACTGCAAGGGAGACTAGGAAATATGACATAGCAGTGTGCACACGCACAAGAGAACGTGGGCTGTGATGACAGCAAGCTCTGCCACACGTTTACGTATTTTTAGTTTCTTCAAAATTCTAGTCACTCTCCTGAATGTCTTTCTCTTTATCTTCTTTTTAAAAGGCTGTGCCCAGAATAAATTAAGAACTCTAACAGTGTTCTGATTAACAGAGTAAAAAAGAATTGCTGTGTCGTAGCCACAGAAACAAAGATAATAAGTTTATACTCTAGGTCACAAGAGAAACTTCCTGAACTTTTTTATATTGATATAGGGAGGTTGGAAAACTGTAATCAGTTTAATATGGGATAACTTTATCAAGAATGTGGTAATTCTGTACTTAAACACTTTTTTTAAAGGATCGCTTCTGTTTTCTTAGGCTAATATTTCCTAAGCATATAATTGTAAACTGGGTAAAGTGCCCCAGTACCACACTGTAGAGTGTGGTGGAATGGGCACAGAACCAGGACCAGAATTCTCCCATTTAAAAAAAAAAAGAATAATCTAGTTTATATGGGTGCAAATAAGCAAGTCTACTTTGAACCTTATATAATCTTTAGTGATTCAGTAATATTAGGTTGTCGGAAAAGTCATGACACATTTTTGCAACGAAAAACATAGAAAAAATACATCATGACTTTTCCAACAACCCAATAACTGTCTATATAGCAGCAATGAACTATAATATGTGAGAAATACTGTGAGTGCCATTATTAGCTACGTTAAAGTTTGTCCATGTCAAAACATCAGAGTTCCTATAGGCATGAGCATATAGGTAAAAAATGAGAAGACCCCAACAACTCAGAGCAGTATGGGAAAATGAGAAAGAATGTCATCAGTGGATTAGAAATGTTCATGAATCCATGAAAGACAAAGCAGTGGGGATTAGATTGATGAGGGTAACCACAGTTTGAAGCATGTGCGTGAAAGGACTGTTTGGAAAGATGAGAGTGATTTCTAGCTCTGGGTCAGCGCTAGGAAGGAATTGAAAGAGCCTTTGGATAACTTTGGGGTACTTGGCTTTCTTCACTTCTGGCCATGCCAAACTGTAGCCAGCAGAGTTGTTTCTCCTCCGCTAGAGCAGTGAAGGTGGGTCCAAGTGTGGCAGAGCAGTGACTTACCTATGGCTGCTGATATCGAGAGAAATGGGAAGCCCCTGTGCTCAGAAGTCAAATGACAGGTAAATTTTTTCCATTATAAGCTAGCTTCTTCCGTAATCACTGGGAGTAGAAGCTAGAATACACAGAAAAAAGCACCTATGCACACTCAAATTTCAAAGCAAAGATGAAAGAGAACCAATTGGAGACATAAGTTACTCCCTCCACATTAAAAAACAATGACAACAACAAAAAACCCATAGGGCTGAAAGGAGCAAACACAGATGAAGAGTGAATTAACAAGATGGAAGATGATGAGACCAGGAATGCTTACGGTATATAACACAAAAGGATAAGATTTGAAAAGTGAGGGAAAAGTTAAAGGAAACGGACAAGATAGATTCAGTTCTAACTTCTATTCAGTGGGATTTGTGAGAGAAAAGAAATGTAGGAGAGAAAATAATCACATAAAAGAACATTTCATAGAATTAAAGAATACCATGTCTTCAGATCTGAAAGTCCCCTTATGTACTAACTGATGGATATAAAAAGGCCCACATCTAGATAAAATTTTGGAATGCCAAAAGTACAGAGAAAATCTCCTAAGTGAAAAAACTTTACTAGAAAAGACTGAAAATCAAATTGCTCTACCTTTTCGTTGGTAACACTGGCTACTAAGGAGACAACTGAGCAATATTTTCAAAATTTTGAAGGAAAATAATTTTGAACTTATAATTTTCTGCTCATCAAAGCTAGCATTTAGAGAGCAAAATAAAGTTAATTTTTGAAGATGCAATACCTAAGAAACTATTATTCATAAACCCCTGACTGAAAGAATTATTAAAGGATTATTTCTCTTCTTGGATTTTTTTATTTTGCAGAAGCAGCATATAACAAGCAGTGAGCAAAGAAAACAGTAAAACTTACTGTCACAAAGTTAGGATAGGAAGAAATTTTTTAAGGAATGTGAAACTAAATCTAAGTTGGTCTTGGTCTGAACTTGAAATGGCAGGAAGGACAGTGAAGGAGAAGAAGGAAGTAATAGCACATTCATATTTTTTTCCACTCTGTAGATGTTGATTAATCTTACTGTTGGTTGAAAAAGAAGCTCAGATATGTCTGTTAAAACGTATAACAAGAAAAGACTAGAAATACAGCATATAACTTCCAGGCCACCAGAAAGGAAAAAGGTACAAATCCCAATAAAAATCTCAACAAAATAAGTAGATTTTAAAATTCAATATATACAAAAAAAGTGCTTGAATTAAAAAAAAAAAGTTGAAAAAGCAATAAGGAGGGGCAGCTAGTTAGCTCAGGTGGTTAGAGGGCAGGCTCGTAACACCAAGGTTGCTGGTTCGACTCCCACATGGGCTAAGGAGCTGCGCCCTCCACAACTAGATTGAAATGCCTACTTAACTTGGAGCTGATGAGTCCTGGAAAAACACACTGTTCCCCAATAAAATTTCAAAACAAAAAAAAGGCAATAAGGAGGTTCTTAGTCCACCAAATATTAAAATATTCCATAAAGCTAGTAATTAAAACTGTGGAATTTGGGCCAGAATGGACAAATTAATGGAATGTAGTCCATTAATATACTCTTGTATATTTCATTGTAATCTAGTAAATAGCAAAAATAGAGACTTTATTTCATAAAGGATGTTGAGGCAATAAGAGTAAAATGTTCATATCATAATGTATTAGAGAAAAACATTTTTATCATCTTGGAGCATGGAAGACCCTGCAAAGCAGAAAATACAAAAGCTATGAATGTAAACTTCTCTACATCAAAGATACCCTAAACAAAGTACACAAGCATCGTACAAGGAATTAACAGTATTATCCTCTAATAATACTAGAAAAGGTCTAGAAGTTTGTTTAGAAATATTCTTTAGGCATGTGTTTTCCCTTTATTTTTTTGGCAGCTCATATAAGTGGAGTCATATAGTATTTGTGCTTTTGTGAATGGCTTATTTCACTTAGAGTAACATTTTCAGGGTTCATCTATGTTATAGCATGTGTTAGAATTTCATTCCTTTTTAGGGCTGAATAATACTCCATTGTGTGTATGTACGTTTTATTTATCCACTCATCTGGTGGTGGGCTTTTGGATTGTCTCTACTTCTTGGCTATTGTGAATAATCCTGGTATGATTATTGGTTTACAAGTATCTGTTTGAGTCTTGTTTTTGTTCTTTTGGATATAAGCATATATACTAGGTTACATGGTAATTCTGTGTTTAACTTTTTGAGGAACCACTATATTCTCTATGGTGAATGTTAACTGAATGTTAATGGCTGCACCATTTTATAGTCCGACCAGCACAAAAGTTCTGTTCTTGCCACATCCTTACCAACACTTGTTATTTTTTGGCCTTTATTTTTACTGAACAACCACTCATTATCATATCTCACTTTAGGCTGTGAAAGTGAATTAATTAATCTCCACAAAACCCTTTAAGTAAAATACTACCGTGTCAGTTACCAGAGTCAAATTTTAAAGAAGATTCGTTGCTAATCTATTGCATACATGGTGTTATACATAAATCCAGCATATGTAAAATATTTCTTTTAAAGATCATTTCTTTATTACAAATTTAGATTGTCATTAAAATATTTGTGTAATAACCTACTGTTGCACTGAGTAATTGATAGATAGTATGTGTGTGTATACATACATACACATACACATATATGATGCACTTATTTTCTTTTTTAAGGTGCAAGACTTATTTATCCGTGATTATGGAGAAATTTTCAATGTCAAATTACCTGGCAAAGAAGAACGGACAAAATTTTTTGAAGATTTAATTCTAAAGCAAGCTGCTAAGCCTCCTATATCAAAAAAGAAAGCAGGTTAGCTACTATATCAAAGTTTATATATAATAACTTTAAGAAAGTAGGAATAAGATATCAGTTAATGGCAACCTTGGTTGTGAGGTTGATAACCAATAATGCTTAAAAATGTTTCCCATTAAATAGACTTAAGTTCTTAAAGCATACAAGGCCTTTCATAGTATAGCCCAAATCTGTCTTTCCAAGCCTATTTTTGGCACTTTTCTTCTCTCCCCTTCTCCCACCTCTTTCCTTACGAACCACTCTAAACCATATGCAGATATTCCTCCCCTTTCATAATTTTGTTCATGCTTGCTCTCTGTCAGTAATGCTCATCCTCATCCCCCATCTCTGTCTAAGGAACTCCTTGTTGTTCTAGTATAACTCATTTTTTTCTTCCCTAACACATCTAGGCAAAACTAATTTTCTATCTTTATGACCCACTGTATTTTTTTCATACTAATAATGACATTATGATGGTGTTATAATTATGTCTCTTGCTCCCTTAATAATAAATTGCCAACTTATTGGGACAGTATTCATATTCCTTTTTTTATGTTGAGTACTCAGTGCATATCTGTTTAAAACAATATTAAACTTTTGTTATATTTGAAACATACTACAATTTTTTATTAGTTCAAAAATTAACTAGTAAAGACTTTTTTTATAATAGTTAGAATATTCTTGTCCTGAAAATAATGCATTTTAAAAGTTTTACTAGCCTCTTAAATGATCTTAAAACAGAACAGATCTTTAGCAATCCAGATTATAAGCTACCAATTACTGCTGGGGGAGGAGGGCATAGGTGTAGGGATTATGGTAATTTAGTATTCCAAACCCTCCAATTCCTGGTAGATGTAAGGACCATAACCCCTGAAAGCCTGGCTACAATGTGCACTGAATCATTTGTCACACTTGATATGATGGGAGAGTAGTAACTAAAATCTTCCATTTATGTGAAGTTTTGCAGGCCTTGGAGGTACTCCCAGTAGCACCACCTTCCGAGCCAAGACCATTGACAGCGGAAGAAGTAAAACGACTAGAAGAACAAGAAGAAGATACATTTAGAGAACTGAGGATTTTTTTAAGAAATGTTACACATAGGCTTGCTATTGACAAACGATTCAGAGTATTTACTAAGCCTGTTGACCCTGATGAGGTATTAGTTTAATCTTTGGATTAAGTGTGTTAAACTGTAATGCTTCAAAAGTAGAGAATAGTTGAATTGTTTGTGTGGTTCTCTGTCTACATGGTTTTCTCTGTATGGAAATGTACCGAATAGTATCCTAAGCACACGGAGAGAGACTTCAAGAGCTATCTAATGCATTTTCCTTTCCTGCAAGAGAATAGACAACTAACTTTGTCTGTTCAACATTCTAGAAGCAATTTGAGAATGTCCTAATGCTACATGATATCATTCTTACCTATACAAAGTAAGCTGGAGAATGAGATCTTAAGTTGACATTGAAGGGTGGGTGGTGTTTGGTTGAGGAAAGAGGTATATGATATCCCTAAAATATAGTTGCCCAAAAATAGGAATTAATACAAAATAAAATCAACTTAAATAGAGTCAAAGGTTTCATATTAATGTATTATCATTATCTCTTATGTATTTATTCTCTCTTCTTTATTGCCTGGCAAAGAAACTTGACTGAAATGTTTTTATGTTCAGAGTCAATTTAGTGATTTGGTCATTTGCTTGAATTTTAGGTTCCCGATTATGCCACTGTAATAAAGCAACCAATGGACCTTTCATCGGTAATCAGTAAAATTGATCTCCACAAGTATCTGACTGTGAAAGACTACTTGAGTGATATTGATCTAATCTGTAGTAATGCTTTAGAGTACAATCCAGATAGAGATCCTGGAGGTGAGCATTAGTGGGTTTTTTCAGGGGTTGCTAACATTTAATGAGGGTTGGTTTTATGTCAGGTGCTGTATTATAACCATTTTACGTTCACCGTGCATGTAATCCTCACAACAACTGTATTTCCATTTCAAGTTTAGAGACCGTAAAAAACTTATTCAAGGTCGTACTGCTAGGAAGTGGCAGAGCCATAATTTGAATGCAGGTTTCTTTCACTCCCAAATCCATGTGTTTACTACACAATATATCCTCTAATGAGACAACATTGCATAACAACTTAGCTTATTTCCTTTGTATATCAATGCTCTTTCTCAGAATGGAAAAATAAACGCTCTCTGCACTAAAATAGGTTTGAAAGAATTTTCTTGGTTAAGACCATTACAATTTTTATTACAAAAGTAATACAGTATAATACTTGCTAATAATATTTTAAAAACTTAGTCCCCCATTTCCTTTCTTTAAAGGTAGACACTAAGTTTTTGGGTGTCTTTCCAGATCTTTTCTGTGTATATACCTATTCCACCCTCACTCACCCAGTCTATTAATAAAATTTATAAAGTACAGGATTTTTTAAATTATAGATTTGTTCACATATACTGATGTATTCAAATATCTACATGTTTGATATAAACTTGTTCATTTTCAAAAATATTTTTCTGCTCAGGTGCTTCTTTTTTCTAGCTTCCTATTCTTGTTTTATGGATGCAGTGTCCACTTTCAGTGGACGTGTGTTTTTAATCTGTTTCCTGCACAAACTCTCCATCAGCACATTAGCTTTCTGTTCTTCAGCTGGTGGTGCTTATACATTAGGTTGATTAGCAGAGGAACATACTGAGTTTCTTCAGCAGTTGAAAAGCTCACTGTCTTCCCCTCCTACTCTTCTATCCCACCTTTCCTAGGCTTTTTCCTGTAGTTTAGAGTTCTGGAAGTAAGCAGTGGGAAACAGGCTACCATGCTGGAAACACCCCTTAATTTTAGAAAGAAGGAAGCATTTTACCCTAGAAGCAGAGGACCTTTTCTGTTTCGTTGCAATCATGCTGCTGCTCCTCTTTCTATCCACGTGACAGCCTAAAATTACTTTGGTAATTTGAACAGTGGTGTTCAAATTTTAGCAAGCATCAGAATCTCTTAAAGGACTTGTTAACAGATACAGATTGCTGGACTTCATCTCCAGGATTTCTGATTCTGTAGATGTAGAGTAGGGCCTGAGAATTCGCATTTCTGACAAGTTCCTAGGTGATTCTGATGCTACCACACGTTGGAAACCAATGCTTCGACTTTGCCCTGCCTTTCTTCAGGCCCAGATGACACGTTAGAAGCTCGCTCCAACATCCCTTCTGATACTGTAGCTATTACTATCAAAAACAACTTGGGTGTGAATATTGCAGCCTGCGGCCCTGTGCGAGGGACTCACCCAGCCATTCAGTCAATCTTGTGTTCACTTACTAGCTGCCTTCTGCCTCAGCATATTTCACTCTACAGTACTTAGACTCAGTTTGGGAATTTTTTTGCAGTGTTTCCTGTGTAGGATTGCTCCTTCACTGTCCTTGTTTCATTTCTCTGTCCATGGAGTAGCATTCTCTATGTCTCTTCCAAAACCCCTTTTACATTCTCATTCACTAATGACACTAATAGCCTTCCTTTCTGTTTTTTGTTGTCATTATGCTGTTTAGTCTTGCTATTGCTTGAGTCTTATATTTTTTCCTGATATTTCAAAGGGATACAGATAGGACATAGCAATAAAATTGTTTGGGATTAGTCTACCATCTTAAATCAGATGTCCAGAACATTAGATTAGCACCAAAAATGGAATAACACTATTTCAGGAAATTTTACTGTTGTGGTAAAACTAACAAAGGCATTGTAAGGGCTAAAGTCTTAGTCCAAAATGTCCAGTTTATTTTTGGTAAATTATTAAAATGAGAAAATTTTAAATCCTTTATTCATTCTCAGATCGTCTTATTAGGCATAGAGCCTGTGCTTTAAGAGATACTGCCTATGCAATAATTAAAGAAGAACTCGATGAAGACTTTGAACAGCTTTGTGAAGAAATTCAGGAATCCAGAAAGAAGAGAGGTAGGAAAATTATTTGGCATCAGAAAAAGATGCGTCTTTTTCTATAATGTGAGTCCATCTAATTAATCCTTCAGGTAATTTTGAAATCTGGACATTTGATTTGATGTTTGACATGTCTATTTATAAGGTTGTAGCTCCTCCAAATATGCCCCATCTTATTACCATGTGATGCCAAAGCAAAATTCCACTCCTGCTGCCGACAGAAGATCAGATCCAGAGCAGAATGAAAAGCTAAAGACGCCCAGTACTCCTGTGGCTTGCAGCACTCCTGGTAAGTTTGCTTGCATAATTTTTACTTATGAAATTGTAAGCTTTACTCTCTTCTAATGCCATTTACTGTCTCCCTCAATTTCCTTTATATTGATGTAGAGAATTACATTGATTTTGTTAATATTAAGGCAACTTTGCATTCTTGAAATAAATCCAGATTTGTAATGATACACCACTTTCAATCCCAGTTCGCGTTCATCTAATTGTAGATTGACTTGATTTGAAACTGATTTTCATTTCCTATGAATCCTGGTTTATTTCCTATTCCTCCTTATTCTCAGAATGTAACTTCACAGGGAGTTACACTAACTCCCTTAGTTAGTTCACACTAACCCAAAGTCTGTGGGTTTCCCCAGGACCTCCCTTTCTTGGCAGGCTCTCAATTCCATTTTTTTGCTCTTTAAGCCCTATGAATGTCAAACTCTCTGCCTCTTAGCCTCTTTAATTAGCTATTCATTTGTTTTACCAGATCTGGTTGTCATAATTCCTCAATGCCTTATTCGATATCCAGTGCTTTTAAACAGAAATTTTGTGTGTGTGTGTGTGTGTGTGTGTGTGTGTGTGTGTGTGTGTGTGTGTTTTGCTTGGGTTGGAACTTTTCCTTACTGTACTGCAGGTTTGTCCATCCTGGGGTAATTGATCTGAGACAGATAGAGTAAGCCTTACTTTTGTAAAAATGGGAGGAGTCAGCTGGGAAAGGGAGATGAGAAAGGCAAACCAACAAGAGCCCACCACTATCAGAATGCTTTCAGTCAAATCAACTTTAAGCAAATATATATATATTTACCCAGCAGGACTGCATACCCAGCAGGATTATACACCCAGCAGGATTGCATGCATTATTATGTTCACCAAAGACACATACAATAATGTTCACAGAACAGATATTCATAATGCCCCAACACTGGGAGCAACACAAATGCCCATCAGCAGTAGAATGAAAAAATGTGAGTTATTATACAGCAGTGAGAACGATTAAACTTTAACTACATATAACAGTATGGATAAATCTCCCAAACATAATATTGCAGTGTGGTTATACTGTATCTAGTCTAGGCAGAATATTTAATTTTGGCATACCTTAGTTCCTTCATCTGTAAAATGACGTTCATAATGGTAACAAACCTGATCAGGTTAAAGTGAAATTGTAATGAGCTAGTACATGTAAAGAACTTAGAAGAGATCCCGTTCTATGGTAGGCACTTAGTAAGTGTAGGCCGTTTTTAATCTTGCCCTTTCTCTATTTCATTCCTCATCCTACTGTCACAGTATTTGCCATAATGTGGGCATCAGACAGATCATACATTGCCCTACTTAAAATTATTCAAGATTTTTAAAAAATTATTCAAGGTAAAGTTCAAACTCAGAGTAACAGGTCATTGCCCACTTCTCTACCTTCTTATAGTACTATATACTTCTGTTTCTGTATTCCATCTGTTCAAAACTGTGGTTTCTCAAGCTCTCTATCCTGTTATACCTCAGGAGTTATTATTCCCCCCACTTACTTAGACTTTAGAAAATTGTTGAATGTTCTTTTTTCCTGTTTCTTTAAATTCTCTGAAGCTCAATTGAAGAGAAAAATCCGCAAAAAGTCGAAGTGGTACTTAGGCACCATAACAAAACGAAGGAGGATTTCCCAGACAAAAGATGATGGCCAAAATACCACAGATGACAAAATTGAGACGGATGCAGAGGAAAACCATGATACAAGTGTGGACCACAATGAAACCGGAAACACAGGGGAGTCTTCAGTGGAAGAAAATGAGAAGCAGCAAAATGCCTCTGAAGGCAAAAGAGAATTGGGAAATAGTAATTCAAATATTTGCAATGTTGAGAATGAACTTGAGGACTGTAGGAAGACTACAGCATGTGCAGAATTGAGGAAAGATAAGATTGTTTGCAATGGAGATGCTTTAAGCTCTCAGATAATGGATGTTTCTGATGAAGCAAAAGGTAAGTCTTTCTCAATTAAACAATTTCCTAATTTTAAAAGATGTTTTAATCAAAGTTCTTAAGGGACTAACTACCATTTCTATTTATTCCTTTTTCCTTGCCTTTCATAGCGCTAGTGTCAATTAGGAAAGATAGCATTTTCTTAACTTAGTAACTATTGAGCTAGTAAATCACTGTTGTTAAAAACACTGTGGCATCAGACAGATCAGATTTGAGCCCCTAGCCCACTACTTAGTAGCTTGTGACCTTGGGTAAGATTCTTGACCTATCAGCCTCAGTTTTCTCTTCTGCAAAATTGGGGCATTTAGTTGCAGGGTAATGAGATATTTTGAGGATTGAATAAAATAATTCATGTAAAGCGTGTAGCAAAGTGCTTGGCTCTATAGTTTTTAAAAGCTGGCAGGATACCTTCTCAGTTTTAAGCAAGCTGTCCAGTTTCCTGTGGTTCTTGCTGAGTTATGTAGAACAACTACCATTCACCCCCACCATTCCTTTATCCGTATTGTAGGTTAAGTCCAAGATTATTTATATTCTAATGACACTGTTGCTTCCAAACTTTTTTCATTTATAATTGTCTTCCATCTGGATCTTTTTGGACCTTTGGCAGTAAATTTGTTTGGTCTTTGGAAAAGGCAAACATTATTTATTTAGTCTTACAAAGCAAAAAGAGTGGTAACAGGGTCAAAATTTTATTTTGATCTAAAGCAGGTATTGACTGAGTTAATGTACTGGTTTTCTTCAGTGGCTTATATGCCATAGGTAAAGCTTCAAGGACTTCTTTGAAATGAATTTCAGTGTGTTTGAGTAATCATAGCAAAATGGACTAGGATATAGCCTTTCCGCGGGTATTTTAAATGTTAATCCTCTGACTATATAATTTATACTTTGTTTGAGCTCAGAGTTGTTTTACTTTTCCTTTATCATTATTTAGTGGTACAGCACACTATTTAGTGGTACAGGTACTTGTTTACATATCAGGAGGTTATTTTCTGGGCTCTTAAAACAATCAGGTGTGGTGACCTTAGAAAAGCCTCTTTATCTCTCTTGGCCTCGTTTTTCTCATCTATCAGTGAGTAGATTGTTCTAGATCAGGGATAGGCAAACTTTTTTGTAAAGGGCCAGATAGTAAATATTTAGCCATATAATCTCTGTCACAGCTACTCAGCCCTGCCAGAAAAGCCACATTGACACGCATATATAAGATGGGTGTGGTTGTGTTCTAATAAAATTACTTGTAACAGTAGGCCAGATTTGGTCTATGGGTGGTAGTTTGCTACCCCTAGATTACAGAGGTCCCTTCTCACTCTTAAATTCTATGACTGATACCTAAGTAGAAGACAGTCTAGCCTATTGAGGATCCCCTGAAACATTCAATTTGAGAAATACTTCTCATGTGTCCTTAATTTTTGAATGTGCTTAGTGGCAGCATCTGAATATTACAGCAAGGTCAATAAGCCAGAATTGGTATTTGTGTCTTAGTAAATATGTGCTACTATTTAATCTGACTAATATTTATTTTAGGCATTATAATATCCGTAAATCAAATAATAACGTTAATTATTCATTCTAGAAATGTGTGTTCTGCGAATGACTCGAGCTAGACGTTCCCAAGTGGAGCAACAGCAGCTCATTAGTGTTGAAAAGGCTTTGGCAATTCTTTCTCAGCCTACACCCTCACTTGTCGTGGACCATGAGCGGTTAAAAGTATGTAAATTGAAATTGTTATGCTTTCATTGTGTAGATTAGTAATGTAACCCACCAAAAGATGGACTGTAATAAGTGCATTTTATCAACTTGGCATGAAATAAATAATGATCTTTTATGAAAAGATAAGCTTGGTATAGAGTAACTTTCATGAAGGTGGTGGTTGGAGGTGGCTATTGTGTTGATATTATAATATTATAGTTTTAAGACTTGTCTACATCATTGATCTCATACATTGTTTTTATGACCATTGCCTATGACTCTTTTAGTTAGTTTTTACTTAGCCATAATGGCATGTTTTGTTAATCATGAGGTAATAGTATATCCTGGTAGGGCCAGACTTGAAGAAGAATCATAGAAATACAGTGAGTCCATTTCAGTCATGAGAAAAACCACTGAGAAGATTGAAAATCCCTTTTATAAGAAAAAGGACCCTGAAGTGGTGAGGTAGTTCATCATTTATGTACTTTTTTTGTTTCACATAACAGAGTTAATTGTAATATACTTGCAGTGCCATAAAATACCGTGTAAAAAGGTTGCTTTTTTTTCCTGTTAATCTAGTTTGGGATTGTTTCTTCGTCTAAAGAGACTTATGGCTAGAAGTGAAATTGGCAACCTCCTCAGCTATAGTTTTTAGGTTGGGAGTTACCCAGGGCAGAGACCAGAATGATGATAAAGTTAACTACAGCAAAATGCCAGCGCCACTATCAGAGGCTGCCATGTCTCATCAGATGTTTTGGTCTGCCCTCTCTCTGGTTTATATGCTAAAAATTCCCCCAGTCTTCTATATTAAAATATCTTGTCTCAGAGAATTTATCTCTCACTTATGTAAACTTACTCATGTTTTCTTTTAGAATCTGTTGAAGACCGTTGTTAAAAAGAGTCAAGAATACAATATTTTTCAGTTGGAAAATTTGTATGCAGTAATTAGCCAGTGTATTTATCAGCATCGCAGGGACTATGACAAAACAATGCTTATTCAGGTAAACTCATCCATATAAGAAATTAACTGATATTATAAAAAATTTTTAGAAGTATTGTTTAATATGTGCATTATGGATTATGGTACAATTGAGTTCCACACTTTTAAAAATCAAGCCACTAGTTTATGTTTCTTTAATCAACTAGAACTATAATATCAGTAAACTATGAAAAATCATTAATTTGTGTGTATGTATATTAATGAAGGTATGTAGCTCCTTTTAATGTAGACTTAAGATAGACCTATTTGTCTTAATGGTGCTTTACAATGGGCATTAGAGTACTTACTTTTAAAAATAGATATTGGGAAAAATAAAAAAATAGATATTGGATGATACTTACATAGTATAATATAAATATTACTGGTACCTATTGTATACCTACCTACCTACATACATACATATATATATATGGTAGTCAGTACACCTACTAAAGTATACTGTGTTACCTACAGAGTATAATATATGTGATACTAGTACCTACAAAATATAAAATATTAATACCTATAGTCATACCAGTGCCTTGATTATAACTATTTGAATTTAGCATAAGATGAGCACATCTCAGACTCATTTCAAAGGGATTTAAACAGTGGAGTCCCGTCAGTGACATCAGTTTATATGATCCTCTTAAATACTGAACTAAGTTGCTGTTTTCACTATCAGATATATACATAGGTAATAAACCCTTAAGGGTATTTACTGGGGGGAAATACAGCAATACAGTAATGTTTCTTCAGCTTTTTCCATATTGAAACTTACTATTTTTTTTCTTTCTACCCTTTTATCTAGAAAATGGAGCGAGAGATAGAAAACTTCAATTGTTCCAGATCATGAAGTCATGATATCACATATTCTTTCTGTTCTGTTCCTATTTAATTCGCCTTTGTCTTATCTACATCAGTGATGCAAGATGAAATCCTGCATCTTTAAGGATAAGATTAAAATACTAAATAAAAATATTTAAAGTTTTTGGTATTTATGTACACATGTAAGATAAATTACAGAGTTTACTGATAAATACTGGGGATTTAAATAAGTCACTGTAGTAATGGTAATGCTATGACATATCAGTAGCTGAAGTGTGGCCAACTCTTAATAAAAAAAGTTAATTCGATAACTGTTTTATGGCCCCTAAGAGTGGTTAATGACATTGACACTTTTAAGCACTTTCAATTTTATCCTTCCTGTGAACAGTTTATTGTTTCAGACTAGAAACGTAACCATGTTTCTTTGCCATCCTTTTTGTTGTCTTTGTTTTCTTCAGTTGCGTACCTCGCATCTGCCTTTAGCTTCCCCTGCCTAGACACTTAAAAGCCAGTGTTCTAGTCATGATTTGCTGGAGGGCCCTTGACCATTCTGTACTTGAATGTCAAAATTAATGCTTTCTAGGTAAACATTTTTCTGATTCTAATTTGGGTTAATAAATATTTTTGGTTTATTTTTACGATAATACACACAACAAATGTGTTAATAACTACTTTGTTAAACAGCTTTTTAATAGCACAAAGCTTTTATATTTGAAAGATGTTTATATCCTTCTAAATTTGTGTTTAGGTTATATTCTATAGATACCTTTTATATACAATTATATAAGTATTATAAATTTTGTATTAATGATACCAAAAATACATTTATTTCTTTCTTAAAGCAATAAAACCATTCACTGCCATGCATTTTTTTTTTTAAGGAGATATTCTAATATTAGTTTGTAAAACAGCTTCTGTTAGAAACTTGCAAAAGGAATAGGGGATAAAGATCTCATATGAGAGATTTTGGATTCTAATACAGTTTCAAAGTTGAACTGCCTTTTGTTGATTTATCTGTACATTGTATGTAAAGCCTTCTAAAGCCCAGTAATTCAGACACCTTAGTAGATACTATCTTATGCAATGCATAAAGCAATGCCAGTCACTGAAAACATTTAGGTATGTGTATATTCCTGGATTCACACATACACATATATACTCATTTTATTGAAGTTTATTATACTTATTCCAGATGCATCTTTTATAACTGGGCTTTCATTCTGTATGTATAGTTTCTGTAATAAATTTTAAAGGTGAAAATTGCTTCTCAGATTTGTGTCTATTTCTTCATTATTTTAAAATGTCCTAAAGAAAATTCAGTGCAAAACAAGTTCAAAAATTTGTTTTAGTACTGTTTATAATTTATAATACTGTTGACACTGGATTGTTTATACGGTGTATGTTTTTTAGCTACAAAGATTAATGTGCTTCCTGTCCTTTTCATGACATGCTGTCTATAGACATGGGAAGTAGTAAGTCTACATTCCTATGTAGACTTCAAAACCATGCTGAAATAGCAAGCCTGGAATGTTTCTTTCTCATTTTTGTTTAAAAAGTGCAGTCAATCTATAGTAATTAGGCAAGAAAAAGAAATAAGATGCATTCAAATTGGAAAGGAAGAAATAAAACTATTCACAGATGACATGATCTTATATGTAGAACATCCTAAAAAAATCACAAAAATCTGTTAAAGCTAATAAACGAATTCGGCAAAGTTGCAATATAGAAGATAAACACATAAAAATCAGTTGTATTTCTATACACTAGCAATAATACAAAAAGGAAATTTTAAAAGCAATTCTATTTACAATAGCATCTAAGACAATAAAACACCTAGGAATAAATTTAACCAAGGAGATGCAAGACTTGTACACTGATAAGTACAAAATGTTGCTGAAAGAAATTAAATAAAACCTAAGCAAATAGAAAGACATCCTGTATTTGTGGATTGGAAGACTTAATGTAGTTAAACTAGCAATATTCCCCAAAGCAAAATACAAATTCAGTGAGATACCGATTAAAATCTCAATGGCCTTTATTGCAGAAATGGGAAAGTCAGTCCTAAATTCATAATGGAATTGCAAGGGACCTTGAATAGCTGAAACAATCTTGAAAAAGAAAGTTGGGAGACTCACACTTCCATATTCCAAAACTTACACAGATCTACATGAATAAAACTGTGGTACTGCCATAAAGGATATACATACAGACCAATGGAACAGAATTGAGAGCACAGAAACCTATATATCTATGGTCAATTGATTTTTGACAGTGGTGCCCAATTCAATGAGGGAAAGAATAGTCTCTTCAACTAATGGTGCTGAGAAAACTGGATATCTACATGTAAAAGAATGAGGTTGGATTTCCACCTCATACCATATACAAAATTTAACAAAAGCCATCAAAGACAAATTGAAGAGCTAAAACTATAAAATTCTTAGAAGAAAACAAGGACAAATCTATATGACCTTAAATTTGGTAGTTATTTCTTAAATATGGCACCAAAAACACTAGAAATGAGTAAAATTAGAGGGGTGACTGGTTAACTCAGTTGGTTAGAGTGGCATGCTGATAATGCCAAGGTTGCCGGTTCGATCCCCGCATGGGCTATTGTGAGCTGAGCCCTCCTTAAAAGAGTCAACTATGCCATTGTAGCATGAAAGTAATGTGTAACCAATGACCATAGCTGTTCACCAATAACATTTTTTTAAATTAGATAAATAGGACTTAATCAAAATGTAAAACCTTCATGCTTTTTCTACAGATACTATCATAAAGGGCTATTAAATCTCAACAGGAAAAAAAAGTCAATCCAGGCTGGCCGAATGGCTCAGTTGGTTAAGAGCTCACTCAAGAGTGTGAGCTCTGAGCAACAGGGTCACCGGTTTGATTCACAGCCCAGCTGAGCTGCCAACAGGTAGCAGGATGGCTCAACTAAAAAAAAAAAAAAAAAGTTTTTGAAAGGATGTAAGTTACCATATGCATGGTCAGAAAAACCTAGTCAATTGAGAGAACCTGGGCTGCTCCAATCCCTTGCAGGAATTCTTAAAGTAGTTGCTATTAATGTGACTCAACAAAAACACCCAAGCTCAGTGACTATTAGATTTCTAAGTTCCCCCTAACAAAGAATTGGATTGGTCATTATGTACCCCTTAGCTATGGCCAGAAGCCAAGGTCACATAATTTAGACATTGCTATAGGATATCCCCATTATAAGAAAGGGTGAACCAACAGCTGCCCTGAGAGTTGTCTGTCATCAAGGTTAGCAAAGTCACAATTTACTGGCATAGTTTTTAATGTGCATTTGAGCCAGTTCTTTGACATATATGATGAACTCTCTCACCTTGGGTGCAGTTTATACACAGTATCTTATTCCTTACAAAGACCCTATGAGGTAGGTTCTAGTATTCATTTACAAGTAAAGAAACTAAGGCTTAGATAGCTTAGGAAATTGACTCATTTTCACACATAAGTGGCAGAAGCAGGACTCCCCTAGGTCTGTGTGATGGAAACCCATGTGCTCAATTACCTTCTCCCTGAACAGACACTGTAGGTGCCCTGCTCATATGCTCTTGTCATTCAGCATTCCAGTATGTGCCACCGGCAACCTGCAAACATCTGTAACCCCACCTGAGGGTATTCTAATAGCCGATGCTGGATGTGAAGGGAGGTTAACATCCCCAGGAATGGCTGCCAACCAGACATAGATCGGAGTTGGTGAACAGTACCCCAGCTCCCTTGCCCCTTGGGTGGGGCAACTTAGAGGTGTGTTCTGCATTTTTATCTCTAAGGTCTCCACTAGGGTTGAGCCCGAGGTCTCAGCAATACCTGCCTGAAACTGTGCTCTATTTTAGCTCCCTTCCCTTCCGTGTCAGTCCATTCCTCTGCTTATACTTGGCACCACCTCCCAAATAACCACGTGCTCTCACAGTTTTTACTCATGCTCCGCTTTTCGGGAGAACCCAAGGTTCTCACTTCCTTTATAATGTAAAAAATAGAAAAATACAAAATGCCCCAATGATAACTACAAAATTTTTTAGGTTCCTCCGTTATTATTGAACCTCACAAACCAGCATTAATTTTATTGTGACAGCCTAACTACTTTCAAATTTCTTCCAGGTTTAAAGAGTGTCTTTATTGTGTAGCAGTGTGAAATGATGTCTTTATTCTGTTTTTAAGAGGGACAGTCTGGAAGCTTACTGTTTAGGCTATGTAATCTTAGTATGCAAAGGTTGGAAATGAAATCATTACATTTGAGCAATCAACCTTGCCAACATCCGAGCTCTGGCTGGGAGTCAGAGAACAGCATTTAACATGCAGTGAGAGGCTCTTGGAATGCTACCTTCAGAGCACATGCCAAATCAAAATGACTGAAACATCCAAAAGATACTGGGACTAAAACATTTAATGCATCAAAGAGTGCCAAACCTGGGTAACCAGGACATGCAGACATTGTGAGCTACAAGAATTGGTTTAAAGGACCACTGTGAAACTTCAACTGGCTTCAAGATGGGGGAGGAGGGAAAGGGGGGCTCATTGCAATAGATAATGTATTCACGAAATAATTTGGAAACTGATTACGTGTGATGAATCCTAATTATAGCTGTTAACTGTGGTGAATATTTAGGAAAAGCAGGGTCTTAAAGACACAAGCTTTTGCTTTAATTATTTAGGAAGAAAAATTAAGTTACCCCAATCTTATGTTGTATAATAATTTTCTTCACTCAGTTTACATGTTTTATATATAGGCCCACAGCATATGTCTTTTTTCTGTTTGTTCTTTAAATCTTAAGTCTCCTGCCCCACCCCACTAGGGAGAAAATGTAAATTACCACCATCCTCAAAATGAATTTCTGGCTTCTAATGGACCTTCACCTCACAGCTGTTGCATGAAATACGGTCACTAAAGTACTAGCCAAATGAAATTGTCTATCCAAAATGACAGTTTTCTAATATTCTTATACCAAATAACTGCAGGAGGAAAAACAGATTACTAAGCATATTTTCTTTCATTTAAAAATAGCTGATCTGGTAATATACCAAAATGCTAATAGTGGTTAGGAAGGGAACACCATGATTGGATACTCATCTCTCTTTTTTTTTCTTTTTTTCTTTTTTAATTTCTGCAAAGTGTATATTCCTTTGGCAGTGAAAATGTTTTATAAAAATTTATAAGTTGCTTTTAAGCTATAATTGTTTTAATTATGAAATCCGAACTAAGGGCCAAAAGGACCAGAAAAAAATATTCCCATGTATATCAACTGAAAAATTATGTATTTCTTAAATTTTTATATTGTCCTTCAACTGTCTTTTGAAAGTATTTTTCAAAACAGTTGTTACAGGTCTGAAGATCTACCTGCACGATCAGAAAGGAGGTGTCTAATATTTGGGTACATACATAACATAAACATAGCATCATATCACTTTGCTGGCACTGGTCGCCAGGCCTCTCATCCAGTTGTGAAACAGGAGGAAAAAGAAATGTGTCAAGAGGAGGCAGATCACAAATTGATAAATGAATGGGAAATCCAAGCCAATTGGACTATATTTTCAATTTATAACATTCATAATTAAAATGAAACCCAGCACTAGTGTGTTATTATGAGAGTATTTTAATTGTAGTTATGAGGGCAAGAACTAATTCTGTCTTGCCCAATTAATATTTGCTGAATTTATGTATATATGTACATGCTATTACTGAGGGCCTACCATGTGCAAGGCATTAAGAAAGATAAAAATAAGAATGAGATATGGTCTCTGTCCTCCAAGGAATGTATAATACAGTAAAATTACATGTCAACACACCTAAACTGCCTCAGACTTCAATAAAGAATTTAGGTTTGTTTTCTTTATTCAAGGCACAGAAGGATGGACTGGAAGCCCCACTGTATGGTGGGAAAACAGGGCCTGTGGAGTCAACGTGGGTTTCAATGTCCAACACATTCTCCAAGAAAGAGGCCTTTTGTTAAGGTAACATGGCAGAGACATTTACTGCTGACCAAAATGTCCCTTGTGCTCCCCCACTTTTCCTGTGACTAGGGCTGATCAAAGAGCTCTCAGCACAAGTGCCATGTGTCACTTCTAAACTGAAGCATTTAATAGTTGGTGGAAAAATCTCTCTCCCCTGCCTCGGCAACCTAGAAGACATGTATTCCAAATAATATAGCCAAAAAGAGGAAGCAGCCTGGATCCCTGAATCACCATTTGGTAGAGAGTTGCCTCAGAAAGGCTGAGAGCCACAAGAAACCCTGACGAATGAGGAATCATTAT